AGGAGGGGGGAAGGGGAACACCCCTCAAAGATGGGGGTGCGTGGGTCACCACGAGAGGCCCCTACAGCGAGAATGCTCTTCTCGGCTGCTAGGAGGGACTTCTCGAGGAGCTCGACAGTGAGAGTGGTGGGGCAGACTGCGAGTAGGTCGTCCCTGACTCCGCGAAGGGAGTCAGGGAGGCGGGTGACAATGTAGTAGAGAGTGAAGTAGTTGGGGGGGGGGTTCTTGGCGCAGAACTCAGCAGGAAGTGCAGCGCGGAAGCGAGCGTCACTAGTGCGCAGGTGGGTAATGAGGTCGGCTACTGTGGCAAAAGCAGCAAGGTCGGGAAAGAGGTACGGTAGCATGAGGCGGCTCAGTGCAGCAGTGGCAGGGGTGGAGTAGCGTGCGATAACGGCGTCGTACAAGGTCTGAGCACTCTTGTACGACCCAAAGTACGCACGCTCAGCGGGAGGGAGGTGGCGACGCACAGCAAGACGTCCAGCAGCATCGCGTGTGGCCCACTGTGAGCGAACAGTGGCATCCTCAGTAGCAGCAGGGGCGGGAGAGGCACCAGAAGTGAGATCAAAGAGAGAGAGTCCGTCAGCTCTGTCGCACTGTAGGAAAAGCAGTAGGTCGTCTACCCACACGTCAAAGTCGATGGCTCTGCCCTCAGCGTCAAAGGCGAGGACACTGGGGGTAGCCATGACAGCAGTAGAGAGAGGGCAGTGCGCAGAGTAAAGCTCAGTGCTCACCAGACAGGGCAGTGCAGGGGGGGGCTCGGGCGGCTCGGGCGGCTCGGGCGGCTCGGGCGGCTCGGCGGCTCGACTGCTGGGCGGCTCGGGCGACACGGCGGCTCGGGCGGCTCGGGCGGCACGGCTGCTGGGGCGGCTCGGCTGCTGGGGGCGGTTCGGCTGCTGGGGCGGCTCGGCTGCTGGGGCGGCTCGGCTGCTGAGGGCGGCTCGGCTGCTACGGCGGCTCGGCTGCTGGGGCGGCGGGGCCGGGAGGTGTAGCGGCGGGACCGTCAGGTGCAGCTGCGGGCCGGCAGGTGCAGCGGCGGGCCGGCCAGTGCAGTGGCGGGGCCGTCAGGTGCAGCGGCGGGCCGGCAGGTGCAGCGGCGGGGCCGTCAGGTGCTGCGGCGGGCCGGCAGGTGCAGCGGCGGGGCCGTCAGGTGCAGCGGCGGGCCGGCAGGTGCAGCGGCGGGGCGGCAGGTGCAGCGGCGGGCCAGCAGAGGGGACGGCAGGGCCGTCAGGTGCAGCTGCGGGGCCGGCAGAGGGGACGGCAGGGCCGCGTCGTAGCGAGCGGCGGGGCCGCGGGTGAGTAGGCGGCGGGGCCGCGTCTAAGCAGGTAGCGGGGCCGCGTTGTAGCAGGCGGCGGGGCCGCGGCTAAGCAGGCGGCGGGGCCGCGACTGAGCGGGCGGCGGGGCCGCGTTCGAAATGGGCGGCGGGGCCGCGTCAGAGAGGGCGGCGGGGCCGCGAGGGAAGGGCGACACGGAGGGTCGCTCGAGCGAGAGAAAAATAAAGTTGGCGCGCCTTGGTGCGCGCTTCGGTGGGCCCTAGGCGAAGTTCCCACAGGGAACCCGCTCTGATACCATGTGAGAGTTGCAGAACAGGAATGAATTGACTAAGTGAAAAGTTGGGTACAAATGCAAACCCTAGAGAGCTGTACCCCATATGAGCTACCCCACTACGGCCTACAATACATGCATCAGCTAAATATAATCTGACAGAATAAACCTCCGAAATCGTCGGAAATTGCAGCGGAAATTACTCACATAAACGTCGCGACAGCTGCTGCTGTCCGTTGCCCGGGGGGAGGGAGGCCACGGTCGATCGCGACCGTTCGAGGCAAGGATGTGGCGGTGCCGAAGGAGTACCTGAAAACCATGGCCGCGAGGAGCAACTAACTCGTTCTCCTGGCCGGCTTACACAACTCCTGGACCCCAAGACATCCTTCCTCGTCCCCCTCCCGAGGGGTATTACACTCTAAAAAGCGGGGTAGGCTATGAAAGTAGCTCTGATACCAGGTGTTATGAATGAACTTGCAGAGTGCGCAGAATATCGAATAACGAGAATGAACTGATTACCGAATTACTGAATTCCGATACAATTGAAGTGATAAGGCCTAAATAGGGGAAGTCATAGCAAGGCGGGAAGTTTGGGCGAGGATGGCTCGGTGATGGATGCGATTGGTGCGGAGGCGACTCGGGGGTGGTTCGGTGCGACGAAATAGGAAAGACATGTTCGTCGCGTGACCCTCGGGATGGCCTCGCTAACGAGTGCCTCAGTAAGGATTTGTAAATCCTTACAGAGAACGTGATATAGTAGATCTACAAGTATTATAACATCCGTGCTTGCCATGTAGCTCGTAATATTTAGAACCGATTAATCGCGGTGAGCACAATTCAATATGTATCAGATTGTAGCATACCAGATATATCATTCGGTAGGTTTACATGTTAGGGTGCAGTAAATTAAATATAAAACTATGAAATTTTGAGCGAGCCCCTTTTGTTCGTTTGTTCCTTCAATACCGCGCCCGTAATAATTACGTGGATTTAGGGGGAATTCAATTACAATAAAATTTCTTCTAAGCGTCAAATAATTATAAAACTAAACCCAAGAGTTAGATGAAGGTTTTATACTTCTATTACAGACCTTGCTAGATGAAGTTTGTGTAGTGTTTTCTATGGTGGTTAAACTGGAAAGCAATGGTGAATATTTAGCCATTGGGTTGGAGGGTAGGGTGGCATAGTCTGGAAACAATAGTTTTTTGCAGGCTGGTGACAAAACCCCCCTTCGTGCAGGACAGGATACAGCTGCCTTTTCCAGGGAACTGTAGATCACCACCACCACCACTGTCCCCGTCACTGTCGCTGTTGCAGTTGATTATGGACTGTACCCATGTGGACGAGTTGACTGGAGGACATGAGAGGCGGGCTCACAGCTTCGACAGGTTCGGTGGCAGCGAGGCACAGTTGCGGTGGTAGAGGAGGTTAATGGCTTCCCGATTGATTGAAACCGCCTGTAACCGTACTAAATAATTTGAATACATATTTTCAAGCCTGCAGAACTACATAACCAAGGTTTAGAAGGCTACGGATTCCGGAATCGTGCGCACAACTACAGTTGCACCACCAGATCCCGGCCCCACCGACATTGCAGGAGGGTATGCCAAGCCATGGCACCCACCCCACCACACATCTTGCAGCTTCAGTTACTTGACCTTTCATGGCCTCAGGCAAATTTGTAACCAGACCAGATGCCTTTTCATGGTTGGGAATTTTTGCGAAGGGTCATATTTGTTCGTTCACAATTGACTTGGAGATGTTAATTTTGGTGCGCAATGGTCCAAAGCGGTGAAAGTCAAATCCCACTCTCAATCGTTTGAACGTACTGAACCACGTCGAACCATGAACGGAGATAATGTAGCTCGTCGAAAGAACGTCGAAAGGTGAAACGAGGGGAGCACTTCAAGAAGACATCAACACCCCCCGCCATCTGCGGCCATCGCAACAGGACCTAGTATGTATATCACTTATCACCCGTCCGAGCTTGGTTTGTAATACTGTAGTAATAGCAGTACCCTGCAGCCAGAATCTTACCTTTCACGTTTACCGCGTCGTCGCAATGCCTCACAGGAAGTTAAAACGCTTCTTTAGCGGAAGGGTCCGCGACGATCGCGCGACAGAAGCGACACACGCCGGCTCGCTATGGCGAGCCGTCGCTTCCGTGAGTCGAGCAGATACTTCCGGAGTTTCTCTAGGAATAGCTGGCGCTTCTGGAGCGCGAGCAGTGGCTGATTCGGAGAATAATTCAGAGTGTCTCGTAAATTCGCCGGACGAATCAGAAACAGTAGTAGCAGCAGTAGTAGCATCCAGGCAATCAGCGCATCGACGCGGCCGCGTCAATGTTGGGCAAGAGGCAGTACCGCACGGAAATTACGTCGATCAACGCGACTGTTTCTCGACGGAGATTTCCACAATAAGCGCCGATGATTGTCGGCGTCTGCCAGACGATGGGCTGGGAAATCGCGGAGCCGCCGATGGTAGTACCAGTCCTTGTAGTAGCAGTAGCGCGAATCGCAGCCATAATAGCGCCCGCAGCGTCTCCTGCTGCGCGCCGATGATCCGACGCCGCCGCGACCGTTGTTCAGTGAGTCATGACAGCGACGAAGATTCGCGGGACGGCGGGAAGAGAGCAGGAAAACGACGAAATGGCCGATCACGCCGACGAGGTATGTCGCAGCCTGCTGAGAACGTAATACACCCGGAAGAAAGATGGTACGAGAAGCAAGTACGGAGACAATTACCGTTCACGCGACGTCACTGTCACACCGTAAAACTTACGGTACTGTGACAGGTGTGACAGTGACAATTACCGTACGGTACGGAAGGCAGGCTATAGAACTTGTATGTTGGAGTTGCTTTTGAGAATTCTCAAAAGCTATTGACCTCTTCCCCTCCTAGCCACTGGCTCTGGCGTTCCTTTGCGTGAGAGACGGCGGTCTTCTCGCATCTTCCTTCGTCTGGGTCATCTCAACCCCCCGTCTCAGCGTCACTCCTCTCAGCGTCCCTCCTCTCAGCGTTCCTTCGTATTCGCGTCCCGTTAACCTCAAATTCCCGCTCGCCATGCCCCCCCAGGCCATCCGCCGCTTGCTCAGCCAGCGCCTCACAATCCTGTTTTCCTTTGCTGTCCGAGTGATCATCTATGTTGGAGTCGCTTGTGAGAATTCTCAAAAGTGACTCTATTACAAACCCCGCAAGCGCGGACAGCACCTCACAATCCTGTTCCCCTTTGTCGCCCGAGCGAGTCTCTTTTGAGAATTCTCAAAAATAGCTCCCGGCCACCCGCCACTTGCTCAACCAGAGCTTCACAATCCTGTTTCCGTGCCGTCGTGTTTTGAGACGTCTCAAAACACCTGCCACTTTCTCAACCAGCGCCTCACAATCCTGTTTCCGTGCCCTCGGAGCGGTCAATATCGTTCTCGGCGTGGCCGTGAGCCGTTGATCCGACTCAGATGTCATGCTCGCTCCACTCCGTCTCTCCTGTCCCACCCTCCTCTCCTCCCCCCCAGTCACACTGTTCCACGTGTTAATCGCTTTATGGATTCTGATCGGCGTGGGCGTGTGCGTGTGGCGGTTCGTGGCAAGGCAGTACCAGTGGCACGGGGAGCGGCGGGGGGAGCTGAGGCAATGGTGTTCGCAACGAGCCATAATGCTGGAGCAGCAGCTGCTGGCGCACACCGGGCAGACGCAGGTGAGTGAATCAGAGAGGAGGTGCATGGAATTCCTTGGGTGAGGTGAGGTAATTCTGATGTTACGGGGAGCGGCAGGTTTTTGAGGCGCCTCAAAAATTCCTTGGGTGAGGTGAGGTAATACTGATGTTATGGTATGGGGAGCGGCAGGTGGAGCTGAAGCGATGGTGCTCGCAGCGGGCGATAACGCTGGAGCAGCAGCTGCTGGCGCACACAGGGCAGACGCAGGCGAGTGAAAAGATAAGGCCCAATTACATGTCTTGGGCACATCACATGCCAGCTCTCCTCCCTCTCACACCCGTTCCTTGTGACTTCTCCAACGCACGCATACTCCTCCCCCCCCCCTTCCTCCCCGCATCCCCCCAATGTGCAGACGCTGGCAGGTTTGGTGTCGTCCCTGGGTCGCATGGCTGAGGACGGCCAATGGGCGCTGGACACGTGTCTCTCTGAGAGGCGTTGGCTGGCGTATCTCAGCCAAACCAAGTCCACCCGGCCTGGAGGCGCTGAGGCGTTTGCGTGTCTCTATGTCACAAATGCCCAGAGGTCAGTCAGTCAGTGCATGTGTTTCCATCACTGGTGCCCGTGGGGGAATTTTTTTTTAGAGCTCTCTAAGATTGTTTCCGTGGCTTTGCGTGGAACTATGCGTTGATCAGCTATTCTGCTCCCTACTTGCCGCTCTCCCATGCGTTGTTCCCTCCCGTGCTTCTCTCTCCCATGCGTTGTTCCCTCCCGTGCTTCTCTCTCCCTCCCCCCAGGCGTGTCTTTGAGCGGCGCAACAACGCCTCGATCACCGATGCGTTCACCGCCCTGCCACGCATGCCTGCTCCAATCTACTGCCCCAAGGTACGCGCCCGAGCTTGCCTGTTCTTAAGGCGCCCGAAATTGCGTACGGAGGTTTGCTGATGCAGATGGAAGGTTGCAGTTACCGCACCTATATCATTTTCCTCCCTCACCACTTCCTTGCACCGCTCCCCACCCCACCTCCACCCCTTACCACTCCCCCTTCTCCAGGTGCTGGACGTGAACAGTGAGTCAGGGGCTGCTCTCCTCTCAGACGCCCTCCAGGCCTTCCCCTCAGAGCTTGCTCTCGTGCATTCCTTAGCCAAGGAGGTTTTTCCTCTGTCCCGCCCCACTCCCGCAATGCAGTGGCCACTCACTCACTGCTACACCCCTTCACCGCCCCCACTCTCCAGGTGCTGGACATGAGTGGTGAGTCAGGGGCCGCTTTCCTCTCAGACAGCCCACCTCCGCACTGCACTGGCCACTCACTGCTACCCCACCACTCCCCACTCCCCACTCTCCACTCCAGGTGCTGGACGTGAACAGTGAGTCAGGGGCTTCTCTCCTCCCAGCCGCCCTCCAGGCCTTCCCCTTGGAGCTTGCTCTCGTGCATTCCTTAGCCAAGGAGGCTATTGCTCCGTCCCGACACACCTCCGCACTGACCACTCACCACCCCCGCTCACCACTCCCCACCCCCAGGTCCTAGATGTAGACATGGAGTCAGGGGCTGCTCTCCTCCCAGCCGCCCTGCAGGCCTTCCCCTCGGAGCTTGCTCTCGTGCATTCCTTAGCCAAGGAGGCTATGGCTCCGTCCCGCCCCCCATCACCTCCACCCACCACCAGGTGCTGGACTTGGACAGCAAGTCAGGGGCTGCTTTCCTGTCAGACGCCCTGCAGGCCTTCCCCTCAGAGCTTGCTCTCGTGCGTGCCTCAGCCAAGGAGACATTCACGCTGCCCTACGCCACCACCGCCACTAGCACTGCTGGTCTGGGTGAGAATCAATCAAGGAGTGGGTAAGCGCAGCTCTGTCAACCTGCATTGATTGACTTGAAATGACCAACCTGAACTTGCTAAACTCAAAATAACTTCACGAGCTACTTAAGTTCCTCTTTGCATTCTTCTCACCCATCCCTCCCTCCTTGTTCGCTTTATATCATCAACCCACAACACCTTCTTCCTTCAATTTTCCTCGACCTCTCCCCCCCCTATCACCACACCAGGGGTGGTGTTCCCGGTGCTGCAGCAGCATCCCTTCCCCACGTCCCCCTTGCAGCAGCAGCAGGCACAGGCAGCAGTGGTGGGAGCAGTGACCACCACCATCAACCTCACTGCTGTCGTGCAGAGCGTGCTCGCTGAGATCTTCGCATCCTCCACTCCATCCACACGTGAGTAGCTGTGTGTCTGTGTGTGTGTCTGTGCGCGCGCGACATGGTTGGCCCCAGGTGATCCGAACCGCACTGCTGTCGTGCAGAGCGTGCTCGCTGAGATCTTCTCATCCTCCACTCCATCCACACGTGAGTAGCTGTGTGTCTGTGTGTGTGTGTCTGTGCGCGCGCGACATGGTTGGCCCCAGGTGATCGGAACCGCACTGCTGTCGTGCAGAGCGTGCTCGCTGAGATCTTCTCATCCTCCACTCCATCCACACGTGAGTAGCTGTGTGTCTGTGTGTGTGTCTGTGCGCGCGCGACATGGTTGGCCCCAGGTGATTGGAACCGCACTGCTGTCGTGCAGAGCGTGCTCGCTGAGATCTTCTCATCCTCCACTCCATCCACACGTGAGTAGCTGTGTGTCTGTGTGTGTGTCTGTGCGCGCGCGACATGGTTGGCCCCAGGTGATCGGAACCGCACTGCTGTCGTGCAGAGCGTGCTCGCTGAGATCTTCTCATCCTCCACTCCATCCACACGTGAGTAGCTGTGTGTCTGTGTGTGTGTCTCTGTGCGCGCGCGACATGGTTGGCCCCAGGTGATCGGAACCGCACTGCTGTCGTGCAGAGCGTGCTCGCTGAGATCTTCTCATCCTCCACTCCATCCATACGTGAGTAGCTGTGTGTCTGTGTGTGTGTCTGTGCGCGCGCGACATGGTTGGCCCCAGGTGATTGGAACCGCACTGCTGTCGTGCAGAGGATGCTCGCTGTGATCTTCTCATCCTCCACTCCATCCACACGTGAGTAGCTGTGTGTCTGTGTGTGTGTCTGTGCGCGCGCGACATGGTTGGCCCCAGGTGATCGGAACCGCACTGCTGTCGTGCAGAGCGTGCTCGCTGAGATCTTCTCATCCTCCACTCCATCCACACGTGAGTAGCTGTGTGTCTGTGTGTGTGTGTCTGTGCGCGCGCGACATGGTTGGCCCCAGGTGATCGGAACCGCACTGCTGTCGTGCAGAGCGTGCTCGCTGAGATCTTCTCATCCTCCACTCCATCCATACGTGAGTAGCTGTGTGTCTGTGTGTGTGTCTGTGCGCGCGCGACATGGTTGGCCCCAGGTGATTGGAACCGCACTGCTGTCGTGCAGAGGATGCTCGCTGTGATCTTCTCATCCTCCACTCCATCCACACGTGAGTAGCTGTGTGTCTGTGTGTGTGTCTGTGTGCGCGCGACATGGTTGGCCCCAGGTGATCGGAACCGCACTGCTGTCGTGCAGAGCGTGCTCGCTGAGATCTTCTCATCCTCCACTCCATCCACACGTGAGTAGCTGTGTGTCTGTGTGTGTGTGTCTGTGTGCGCGCGACATGGTTGGCCCCAGGTGATCGGAACCGCACTGCTGTCGTGCAGAGCGTGCTCGCTGAGATCTTCTCATCCTCCACTCCATCCACACGTGAGTAGCTGTGTGTCTGTGTGTGTGTGTCTGTGCGCGCGCGACATGGTTGGCCCCAGGTGATCAGCACCGCACTGCTGTCGTGCAGAGCATGCTCGCTGAGATCTTCTCATCCTCCACTCCATCCACACGTGAGTAGCTGTGTGTCTGTGTGTGTGTCTGTGCGCGCGCGACATGGTTGGCCCCAGGTGATCGGAACCGCACTGCTGTCGTGCAGAGCGTGCTCGCTGAGATCTTCTCATCCTCCACTCCATCCACACGTGAGTAGCTGTGTGTCTGTGTGTGTGTGTCAGTGCGCGCGCGACATGGTTGGCCCCAGGTGATCGGAACCGCACTGCTGTCGTGCAGAGCGTGCTCGCTGAGATCTTCTCATCCTCCACTCCATCCATACGTGAGTAGCTGTGTGTCTGTGTGTGTGTCTGTGCGCGCGCGACATGGTTGGCCCCAGGTGATTGGAACCGCACTGCTGTCGTGCAGAGGGTGCTCGCTGTGATCTTCTCATCCTCCACTCCATCCACACGTGAGTAGCTGTGTGTCTGTGTGTGTGTCTGTGTGCGCGGGACATGGTTGGCCCCAGGTGATCGGAACCGCACTGCTGTCGTGCAGAGCGTGCTCGCTGAGATCTTCTCATCCTCCACTCCATCCACACGTGAGTAGCTGTGTGTCTGTGTGTGTGTGTCTGTGCGCGCGCGACATGGTTGGCCCCAGGTGATCAGCACCGCACTGCTGTCGTGCAGAGCATGCTCGCTGAGATCTTCTCATCCTCCACTCCATCCACACGTGAGTAGCTGTGTGTCTGTGTGTGTGTCTGTGTGCGCGGGACATGGTTGGCCCCAGGTGATCGGAACCGCACTGCTGTCGTGCAGAGCGTGCTCGCTGAGATCTTCTCATCCTCCACTCCATCCACACGTGAGTAGCTGTGTGTCTGTGTGTGTGTCTGTGTGCGCGCGACATGGTTGGCCCCAGGTGATCGGAACCGCACTGCTGTCGTGCAGAGCGTGCTCGCTGAGATCTTCTCATCCTCCACTCCATCCACACGTGAGTCGCTGTGTATCTGTGTGTGTGTGTCTGTGCGCGCGCGGCATGGTTGGCCCCAGGTGATCGGAACCGCACTGCTGTCGTGCAGAGCGTGCTCGCTGAGATCTTCTCATCCTCCACTCCATCCACACGTGAGTAGCTGTGTGTCTGTGTGTGTGTCTGTGCGCGCGCGACATGGTTGGCCCCAGGTGATCGGAACCGCACTGCTGTCGTGCAGAGCGTGCTCGCTGAGATCTTCTCATCCTCCACTCCATCCACACGTGAGTAGCTGTGTGTCTGTGTGTGTGTCTCTGTGCGCGCGCGACATGGTTGGCCCCAGGTGATCGGAACCGCACTGCTGTCGTGCAGAGCGTGCTCGCTGAGATCTTCTCATCCTCCACTCCATCCATACGTGAGTAGCTGTGTGTCTGTGTGTGTGTCTGTGCGCGCGCGACATGGTTGGCCCCAGGTGATTGGAACCGCACTGCTGTCGTGCAGAGGATGCTCGCTGTGATCTTCTCATCCTCCACTCCATCCACACGTGAGTAGCTGTGTGTCTGTGTGTGTGTCTGTGTGCGCGCGACATGGTTGGCCCCAGGTGATCGGAACCGCACTGCTGTCGTGCAGAGCGTGCTCGCTGAGATCTTCTCATCCTCCACTCCATCCACACGTGAGTAGCTGTGTGTCTGTGTGTGTGTGTCTGTGCGCGCGCGACATGGTTGGCCCCAGGTGATCGGAACCGCACTGCTGTCGTGCAGAGCGTGCTCGCTGAGATCTTCTCATCCTCCACTCCATCCATACGTGAGTAGCTGTGTGTCTGTGTGTGTGTCTGTGCGCGCGCGACATGGTTGGCCCCAGGTGATTGGAACCGCACTGCTGTCGTGCAGAGGGTGCTCGCTGTGATCTTCTCATCCTCCACTCCATCCACACGTGAGTAGCTGTGTGTCTGTGTGTGTGTCTGTGTGCGCGGGACATGGTTGGCCCCAGGTGATCGGAACCGCACTGCTGTCGTGCAGAGCGTGCTCGCTGAGATCTTCTCATCCTCCACTCCATCCACACGTGAGTAGCTGTGTGTCTGTGTGTGTGTGTCTGTGCGCGCGCGACATGGTTGGCCCCAGGTGATCAGCACCGCACTGCTGTCGTGCAGAGCATGCTCGCTGAGATCTTCTCATCCTCCACTCCATCCACACGTGAGTAGCTGTGTGTCTGTGTGTGTGTCTGTGCGCGCGCGACATGGTTGGCCCCAGGTGATCGGAACCGCACTGCTGTCGTGCAGAGCGTGCTCGCTGAGATCTTCTCATCCTCCACTCCATCCACACGTGAGTAGCTGTGTGTCTGTGTGTGTGTGTCTGTGCGCGCGCGACATGGTTGGCCCCAGGTGATCGGAACCGCACTGCTGTCGTGCAGAGCGTGCTCGCTGAGATCTTCTCATCCTCCACTCCATCCATACGTGAGTAGCTGTGTGTCTGTGTGTGTGTCTGTGCGCGCGCGACATGGTTGGCCCCAGGTGATTGGAACCGCACTGCTGTCGTGCAGAGGGTGCTCGCTGTGATCTTCTCATCCTCCACTCCATCCACACGTGAGTAGCTGTGTGTCTGTGTGTGTGTCTGTGTGCGCGGGACATGGTTGGCCCCAGGTGATCGGAACCGCACTGCTGTCGTGCAGAGCGTGCTCGCTGAGATCTTCTCATCCTCCACTCCATCCACACGTGAGTAGCTGTGTGTCTGTGTGTGTGTGTCTGTGCGCGCGCGACATGGTTGGCCCCAGGTGATCGGAACCGCACTGCTGTCGTGCAGAGCGTGCTCGCTGAGATCTTCTCATCCTCCACTCCATCCATACGTGAGTAGCTGTGTGTCTGTGTGTGTGTCTGTGCGCGCGCGACATGGTTGGCCCCAGGTGATTGGAACCGCACTGCTGTCGTGCAGAGGGTGCTCGCTGTGATCTTCTCATCCTCCACTCCATCCACACGTGAGTAGCTGTGTGTCTGTGTGTGTGTCTGTGTGCGCGGGACATGGTTGGCCCCAGGTGATCGGAACCGCACTGCTGTCGTGCAGAGCGTGCTCGCTGAGATCTTCTCATCCTCCACTCCATCCACACGTGAGTAGCTGTGTGTCTGTGTGTGTGTGTCTGTGCGCGCGCGACATGGTTGGCCCCAGGTGATCAGCACCGCACTGCTGTCGTGCAGAGCATGCTCGCTGAGATCTTCTCATCCTCCACTCCATCCACACGTGAGTAGCTGTGTGTCTGTGTGTGTGTCTGTGTGCGCGGGACATGGTTGGCCCCAGGTGATCGGAACCGCACTGCTGTCGTGCAGAGCGTGCTCGCTGAGATCTTCTCATCCTCCACTCCATCCACATGTGAGTAGCTGTGGGTCTGTGTGTGTGTCTGTGCGCGCGCGACATGGTTGGCCCCAGGTGATCGGAACCGCACTGCTGTCGTGCAGAGCGTGCTCGCTGAGATCTTCTCATCCTCCACTCCATCCACACGTGAGTAGCTGTGTGTCTGTGTGTGTGTGTCTGTGCGCGCGCGACATGGTTGGCCCCAGGTGATCAGCACCGCACTGCTGTCGTGCAGAGCATGCTCGCTGAGATCTTCTCATCCTCCACTCCATCCACACGTGAGTAGCTGTGTGTCTGTGTGTGTGTCTGTGCGCGCGCGACATGGTTGGCCCCAGGTGATCGGAACCGCACTGCTGTCGTGCAGAGCGTGCTCGCTGAGATCTTCTCATCCTCCACTCCATCCACACGTGAGTAGCTGTGTGTCTGTGTGTGTGTCTGTGCGCGCGCGACATGGTTGGCCCCAGGTGATCGGAACCGCACTGCTGTCGTGCAGAGCGTGCTCGCTGAGATCTTCTCATCCTCCACTCCATCCACACGTGAGTAGCTGTGTGTCTGTGTGTGTGTCTGTGCGCGCGCGACATGGTTGGCCCCAGGTGATCGGAACCGCACTGCTGTCGTGCAGAGCGTGCTCGCTGAGATCTTCTCATCCTCCACTCCATCCACACGTGAGTAGCTGTGTGTCTGTGTGTGTGTCTGTGCGCGCGCGACATGGTTGGCCCCAGGTGATCGGAACCGCACTGCTGTCGTGCAGAGCGTGCTCGCTGAGATCTTCTCATCCTCCACTCCATCCACACGTGGGTAGCTGTGTGTCTGTGTGTGTGTCTGTGCGCGCGCGACATGGTTGGCCCCAGGTGATCGGAACCGCACTGCTGTCGTGCAGAGCGTGCTCGCTGAGATCTTCTCATCCTCCACTCCATCCACACGTGAGTAGCTGTGTGTCTGTGTGTGTGTGTCTGTGCGCGCGCGACATGGTTGGCCCCAGGTGATCGGAACCGCACTGCTGTCGTGCAGAGCGTGCTCGCTGAGATCTTCTCATCCTCCACTCCATCCATACGTGAGTAGCTGTGTGTCTGTGTGTGTGTCTGTGCGCGCGCGACATGGTTGGCCCCAGGTGATTGGAACCGCACTGCTGTCGTGCAGAGGGTGCTCGCTGTGATCTTCTCATCCTCCACTCCATCCACACGTGAGTAGCTGTGTGTCTGTGTGTGTGTCTGTGTGCGCGGGACATGGTTGGCCCCAGGTGATCGGAACCGCACTGCTGTCGTGCAGAGCGTGCTCGCTGAGATCTTCTCATCCTCCACTCCATCCACACGTGAGTAGCTGTGTGTCTGTGTGTGTGTGTCTGTGCGCGCGCGACATGGTTGGCCCCAGGTGATCAGCACCGCACTGCTGTCGTGCAGAGCATGCTCGCTGAGATCTTCTCATCCTCCACTCCATCCACACGTGAGTAGCTGTGTGTCTGTGTGTGTGTCTGTGCGCGCGCGACATGGTTGGCCCCAGGTGATCGGAACCGCACTGCTGTCGTGCAGAGCGTGCTCGCTGAGATCTTCTCATCCTCCACTCCATCCACACGTGAGTAGCTGTGTGTCTGTGTGTGTGTGTCTGTGCGCGCGCGACATGGTTGGCCCCAGGTGATCGGAACCGCACTGCTGTCGTGCAGAGCGTGCTCGCTGAGATCTTCTCATCCTCCACTCCATCCATACGTGAGTAGCTGTGTGTCTGTGTGTGTGTCTGTGCGCGCGCGACATGGTTGGCCCCAGGTGATTGGAACCGCACTGCTGTCGTGCAGAGGGTGCTCGCTGTGATCTTCTCATCCTCCACTCCATCCACACGTGAGTAGCTGTGTGTCTGTGTGTGTGTCTGTGTGCGCGGGACATGGTTGGCCCCAGGTGATCGGAACCGCACTGCTGTCGTGCAGAGCGTGCTCGCTGAGATCTTCTCATCCTCCACTCCATCCACACGTGAGTAGCTGTGTGTCTGTGTGTGTGTGTCTGTGCGCGCGCGACATGGTTGGCCCCAGGTGATCAGCACCGCACTGCTGTCGTGCAGAGCATGCTCGCTGAGATCTTCTCATCCTCCACTCCATCCACACGTGAGTAGCTGTGTGTCTGTGTGTGTGTCTGTGTGCGCGGGACATGGTTGGCCCCAGGTGATCGGAACCGCACTGCTGTCGTGCAGAGCGTGCTCGCTGAGATCTTCTCATCCTCCACTCCATCCACACGTGAGTAGCTGTGGGTCTGTGTGTGTGTCTGTGCGCGCGCGACATGGTTGGCCCCAGGTGATCGGAACCGCACTGCTGTCGTGCAGAGCGTGCTCGCTGAGATCTTCTCATCCTCCACTCCATCCACACGTGAGTAGCTGTGTGTCTGTGTGTGTGTGTCTGTGCGCGCGCGACATGGTTGGCCCCAGGTGATCAGCACCGCACTGCTGTCGTGCAGAGCATGCTCGCTGAGATCTTCTCATCCTCCACTCCATCCACACGTGAGTAGCTGTGTGTCTGTGTGTGTGTCTGTGCGCGCGCGACATGGTTGGCCCCAGGTGATCGGAACCGCACTGCTGTCGTGCAGAGCGTGCTCGCTGAGATCTTCTCATCCTCCACTCCATCCACACGTGAGTAGCTGTGTGTCTGTGTGTGTGTCTGTGCGCGCGCGACATGGTTGGCCCCAGGTGATCGGAACCGCACTGCTGTCGTGCAGAGCGTGCTCGCTGAGATCTTCTCATCCTCCACTCCATCCACACGTGAGTAGCTGTGTGTCTGTGTGTGTGTCTGTGCGCGCGCGACATGGTTGGCCCCAGGTGATCGGAACCGCACTGCTGTCGTGCAGAGCGTGCTCGCTGAGATCTTCTCATCCTCCACTCCATCCACACGTGAGTAGCTGTGTGTCTGTGTGTGTGTCTGTGCGCGCGCGACATGGTTGGCCCCAGGTGATCGGAACCGCACTGCTGTCGTGCAGAGCGTGCTCGCTGAGATCTTCTCATCCTCCACTCCATCCACACGTGGGTAGCTGTGTGTCTGTGTGTGTGTCTGTGCGCGCGCGACATGGTTGGCCCCAGGTGATCGGAACCGCACTGCTGTCGTGCAGAGCGTGCTCGCTGAGATCTTCTCATCCTCCACTCCATCCACACGTGAGTAGCTGTGTGTCTGTGTGTGTGTCTGTGCGCGCGCGACATGGTTGGCCCCAGGTGATCGGAACCGCACTGCTGTCGTGCAGAGCGTGCTCGCTGAGATCTTCTCATCCTCCACTCCATCCACACGTGAGTAGCCATGCATGTGTGTGTCTCTGCGCGCGCGTGTATGATATGGTTGGGCCCAGGTGATGGGAACCGCACTGACATCGTGTAGAGCATGGTCTCTGAGATCTTCTCATCATCTACTCCATCTGCTCGTGAGTACAATCGCTCTCAGACCGATCATTTGAGCTCTACGATACCACAGACCCTGCCTCCCCGCTCATGTTCACAGGCCCCACGCCGCTCATGTTCACAGGCCCCACGCCGCTCATGTTCACAGGCCCCACGCCGCTGCTCTTTTCTGCCCTTGCCTGCTTCTCTTCTCTTGCCTGCTTCTCTTGCCTGCTCCTCACCTCACCTTCCCCATTCCGTATCCTTCCCTCCCTCTTGTCGTCACCTTCCTCCCATCCACTCTCCGACCGATCTTTCGAGCTCTACGATAGGACAGACCCTGCCTCCCCGTTCATGCTCGCAAGCCCCACGCCGCTGCTCTTCCCTGTTGCTCTTGCCCTTTCCTCACCTCACCTTCCATTTCTCATCTCTCCTCCCCCCTCCCTTCCATCCAGGCTCCGACCGATCAGTTGAGCTCTACGATACGACAGACCTTGCCGCCCCGCTCATGCTTGCCAGCCCCATGCCGCTGCTCTTCCAGCCGCAGCCCGGCCAGCCGGTCGCCCCGCTGCTGCCGCTGCCCCCCTCGGTGCTGCGCGTATGGGAGATGCGGGCAATTGTGAACCTCACGCTGCCAAGTGCTGGGCCCAGGCGCTACCAAGTGTGGTGCAGGTGGGTGGATGGGTGGGTGTGCTGGGGCAGACTTTCAAGGCGCGTAATGAATATAGCTAGCATTGTGGGGTTGGGTGGAAGGGAGTGGTTCCACTCAAAATGGACATACCTGAGGCCTAATCTCTGGATTTACACTGCTTCCTATCATGTTCATGTAGCGTATTGAGCAAGCGGAGAGGAATGAGGCACTGCTGGAGAGGGGAGCTCACCTGCCTGAGACGGATTCTCAGGTGGAGCAGATGAGAGCTGAGATGGCGGAGCTGAGTCGTCAGCTGGCTGAGAGAGAGGTTCGATTGGGGCAGATGAGAGCTGAGATGGCGGATTGAGATGTACAATTGGAGCAGAAGAGCGCTGAGGTAGGCTCAGGAGGGGGGGAAATGGCAGGGGACGGCCTAAGAAATCACTGGAAGCGAGACCACCTTCAAGGGTTAGGCTCCCCAGCACCCACTCAAATGCTCCCCAGCACTTACTCTTAGGCCGCCCGCCGCCATTTCCCCCAAACCTGAGCCTACCTCTCGAAGGTGGTCTCGCTCCGCAATCACTGCCTTCAGCTCAACGCTCTTCTGCTCCAATTGTACATCTCAATCCGCCATCTCAGCTCTCATCTGCCCCAATCGAACCTCTCTCTCAGCCAGCTGACGACTCAGCTCCGCCATCTCAGCTCTCATCTGCTCCACCTGAGAATCCGTCTCAGGCAGGTGAGCTCCCCTCTCCAGCAGTGCCTCATCCCTCTCCGCCTGCTCAATACGCTATATAAACAGGATAGAAAAATGTCTAAATCCAGAAATTAAGGCTCAGGTATGTCCATTAGCTAGTCCGTTTTGAGACGCATAGAAACACGATTCAGTGTTGTTCCGGTGGGGGTGGGTGGGCTGGAGTCCGTGTGTATGTATTCAAGCTGGTATCCTCCCCACCCCCCTCTCTCTGTCTCCCACTGTGTGCCTGTTTCTCTCCCTCGGTTCTGACCCAGCAGGTTCACGGAGCCCCCCTCTTGGTTTGTTGAATACAGAATGCCCATCCTCTGGACGCTGCTGGTGCTGGCGCTACTGGTAACCCAATCCCCCCCTGTCCCTCCCACTGTACGCCCCAACCGATTCACGGAGCCGCCATCGCGGTTCATGGAGTATGGAATGCCGACCCTGTTCACACTGCTGGTGCTGGCGATAGTGACCCGATTCCCCCCTGCATGTCCGTTCTCTCCCACTTGTTTCCAGACCAGGTTCACGGAGCCCCCCTCTTGGTACATGGAGTATGTGATGCCGACCCTCTTCACCCTGCTCGTGCCGGCGCTGGTAGCGCTGGTGGCGGTGGTGGCGTGCCCGCAGCGGCGCCAGTACGAGCAGAGCCGGCAGGCAGGCAGGCAAGCAGCAGCAAAGTGGTTACCCTGTGCTTGTTCCATCTAGTAACCTGATCTCCCCCTGTTCTCTCCCTCCCGTTTTGTCCCAACAGGTTCACGGAGCCCCCGTCTCGGTTTGAAGAGTATGTTCTGCCGACCCTCTTCACCCTGCTGGTGCTGGCGCTGGTAGCGCTGGTGGCGGTGGTGGCGTCCCTGCAGCGGCGGCAGTACGAGCAGAGCAGGCGGGCAGCAGTGGAGGCGGATGCGATGAGGGCGGAGGCGGAGGGGGCGGAGAGGAGCAAGAGCTGCTTTGTCGCGAGCATGACTCATGAGCTGCGCACTCCCATGCTTGGCATCATCGGTATGGGCTGCTGATGGAGTCTCATGGGGTGATTGGTATGGGCATGATTGGGGTGGGTTTGGGAAGGAAGCGGAGGGGGATGAGGGAGGTGGAGGGGGCAGGCAGAGAGGAGCAAGAGCTGCTTTGAGCACAGCCCGTTCTCTGCGCCTTTTGAGGCGTCTCAAAAGTCGTCAAGAGCTGCTTCGAGCACAGCCCGTTCTCTGCGCCTTTTGAGGCGTCTCAAAAGTCGTCAAGAGCTGCTTTGAGCACAGCCCGTTCTCTGCGCCTTTTGAGGCGTCTCAAAAGTCGTCAAGAGCTGCTTTGAGCACAGCCCGTTCTCTGCGCCTTTTGAGGCGTCTCAAAAGTCGTCAAGAGCTGCTTTGAGCACAGCCCGTTCTCTGCGCCTTTTGAGGCGTCTCAAAAGTCGTCAAGAACTGCTTTGAGCACAGCCCATTCTCTGCGCCTTTTGAGGCATCTCAAAAGTCGTCAAGAGCTGCTTTGAGCACAGCCCGTTCTCTGCGCCTTTTGAGGCGTCTCAAAAGTCGTCAAGAGCTGCTTTGAGCACAGCCCGTTCTCTGCGCCTTTTGAGGCGTCTCAAAAGTCGTCAAGAGCTGCTTTGAGCACAGCCCGTTCTCTGCGCCTTTTGAGGCGTCTCAAAAGTCGTCAAGAGCTGCTTTGAGCACAGCCCGTTCTCTGCGCCTTTTGAGGCGTCTCAAAAGTCGTCAAGAGCTGCTTTGAGCACAGCCTGTTCTCTGCGCCTTTTGAGGCGTCTCAAAAGTCGTCAAGAGCTGCTTTGAGCACAGCCCATTCTCTGCGCCTTTTGAGGCATCTCAAAAGTCGTCAAGAGCTGCTTTGAGCACAGCCCGTTCTCTGCGCTAAAGGTGAACCATGTGCTTGACCTGTCTAAGCTGCATCTACTCCCTTCCCCTTCCCCTGTGCCCCACCCATCCCAGGCATGCTAGACATGCTCTCGGACTCACATCTTTCTAGCAACCAGCTCTCAGACTTAAGCACAGCGCGCACCTCTGCCCTCAAGGTGCTGAAGCTGGTGAACCAGGTGCTGGACCTCTCCAAGCTGGAGGCGGGGCGGCTGCAGCTGGAGCCGGGCGGGTTTGACGTGCACGCGTGGGTGGAGGGGGTGGTGGGCCGGCGGTGGGCGGAGGCGCAAGAGAGGAACTTGCACTGTGAGTCTGCGGCTTGTTTCATACAGGAACTGGGGCGGGGGAGAAACAGAATTGGTTCGAATGAGAATAGGCTTGAATTGCGAGGGTTTGGACCTCTCCAAGCTGGAAGCTGGGCGGGGAATGTCTACTGTAAGTATGCCAGCTGTTTCAAGGAGGGTTCTTGAAAGAGAGAGGGGGGGGCGAACATGAATTATGAGCGCCCCCTTCCCTTTTTTTTTCCTGCATCTAACACCTATGAATATGTGCATGCTTGTGAGCAGTGGCAGCAGTAGTGGACGCCGATGTGCCGCCTCAGCTGGTGGGGGATCAACTGCGCCTCGCCCAAGTGCTCTCTCAAGTGATGGGTGGGTGCTCACTTACTGTCGCCTCTTCTGTTCAGTTTTTGAGGTGCCTATCAGAGTCTATCACAAGTCAAGCCATGGATGGGCTGTTCAGTTCGGATGTCTGGCCAGCTCAAAAGATGTCTGGCCAGCTCAAAAGATGTCTGGCCAGCTCAAAAGATGTCTGGCCAGCTCAAAAGATGTCTGGCCAGCTCAAAAGATGTCTGGCCAGCTCAAAAGATGTCTGGCCAGCTCAAAACATGTCTGGCCAGCTCAAAAGATGTCTGGCCAGCTCAAAACATGTCTGGCCAGCTCAAAAGATGTCTGGCCAGCTCAAAACATGTCTGGCCAGCTCGTTCACATGTGACGACTTTTGAGGCGCCTCAAAACATGTCTGGCCAGCTCGTTCACATGTGACGACTTTTGAGGCGCCTCAAAACATGTCTGGCCAGCTCGTTCACATGTGACGACTTTTGAGGCGCCTCAAAACATGTCTGGCCAGCTCGTTCACATGTGACGACTTTTGAGGCGCCTCAAAACATGTCTGGCCAGCTCGTTCACATGTGACGACTTTTGAGGCGCCTCAAAACATGTCTGGCCAGCTCGTTCACTTGTGACGACTTTTGAGGCGCCTCAAAACATGTCTGGCCAGCTCGTTCACATGTGACGACTTTTGAGGCGCCTCAAAACATGTCTGGCCAGCTCGTTCACTTGTGACGACTTTTGAGGCGCCTCAAAACATGTCTGGCCAGCTCGTTCACATGTGACGACTTTTGAGGCGCCTCAAAACATGTCTGGCCAGCTCGTTCACATGTGACGACTTTTGAGGCGCCTCAAAACATGTCTGGCCAGCTCGTTTACATCTGGTCACTTCTGCTCACTTCTGGTCACTTCTGCTCACTTCTGCTCACTTCTGCTCACTTCTGCTCACTTCTGCTCACTTCTGCTCACTTCTGCTCACTTCTGGTCACTTCTGGTCACTTCTGGTCACTTCTGGTCACTTCTGGTCACTTCTGGTCACTTCTGGTCACTTCTGGTCACTTCTTCTCCCTTCTGTTCAATCACTCGGCCGAATCTGTTTTTTTTTTTTTTTTTTTTTTTTTTCAAGTCAAGCCATGGATGGGTGTCTGGCCAGGCCAGCTCGTTTACACATGGTTACTTCTGGTCGCTCCTAGTTAGCCAGCTAATTTTCATGTCGTGTTGATGGTTCTGTTTGTGTCAGTTGGCCGGCCCTTGTCACAGGGGTAGCTCTGGCTACTGCAGAGTGGATTAGACACAGCAGTTTGCTCCTGTCCCATCCTCCGCTCTCCCAACCCACCTTCCTCCCACCCCTGCTGCAGACTACGCCTTGTCATTCACACCGCACGGGGGCTACGTGCTGGTGCGGGTGGCTGTGGTGGATGCTCATGTGCCCATGGCTCAGCTGGCTCAGTGGAACGGTGAGTGAGAATGCTTTACCAATTCGGTTGTTTTCATATCTGTTGTGTTCTTTAGGCGCCTCAAGAATTGCCAGTGGCTGTGGCCAATGCGGGCGTGCCCATGGCGCGGTTGGCTCAGTGGAACAGTGAGTGAGAGAAGGCTCTATCAACCTCAGTAGTATTCATGTTATATACAAAAGAAGAACTGTATTGAATTGACACAGCAATGGGTGGAGCTTTGCTCTATCTTCAGACCCCTGAATCTCCTCAAACATCTTTCTTCTCTATGCCTGTCCTCCCCCCTCTTTCTCTGGTACCTATCCCCTTTCCGCAGCATCCCTTTCAGCAGCCAGCAGCCGATGGCGACGACAAATGATAGACCATTGCTCTCTCTAGGATGACTTTTGCATCGTTTTTTACATTCCTCTATCTGCCTTCCTCTCCTCTCTCCCCTGCCCTCTGCAGCGTCCTGTGCTGCAGCCAGCAGCGCGAGGGTGACTACACTGATAGGCTCAGACGATGTGACTATAACAGGGGATGCTGACGCAGCAGCAGCAGCAGCAGCAGCAGCAGCAGCAGCAGCAACGGCTTGCTTTGCTGGCAGTGCTGGACCGTGCGGAGAGAAGCAGAGCTGTTGTCAAGCTATGGCTGCTCGCAATACGCTCAATACGCGCAAACGGCCAGGATATGGCAAAAGTAGTGTGTGTGACTGTAGAGGAGCAGAACCATGCAACCTTCGTGGTCCCTGCATACGTGGTAACTGTACAAGCGGCATCAGTGGTAACCGTATTATGGGTGGTAGTAGTAACCATACAGTCCACGTGGATTGTGACTGTCACTACGGCGGAAGAAGGGGAGCAGCAGCAGGCGGGGCAATGCAGCTGGTGGTGACGTGTGAGCACAGCGGGTGTGACAACAGCGAGACCATGAATGGATTCATGTTTCGATTTGAGGTGAGCAGTGACGGTCCATGCGAAGTGAAACAGCAATGATTTCTGAGTCGACAGGGTATTTTTGAGAATTCTCAAAAATACCCTGCAGCATCATGATTTTTGAGTCGACTCAAAACTCATCAAGACGGTCCATGTGAAGTGAAACAGCAATGATTTCTATCTGAGGTGATGAGACAGGGATGACACTGTGGAGGAGACATGTTGAGGTGACAAGTATCTTTGGCGAGGAAACCATTCCCGCCACTTGTGTATGGTAAACCTGAGTACTCCCAAATTGTTCATGGGCAGAGAATACAAACCTGGACTTTAGAATGATGCACAGAACTGGCCTTTATGTGTAGCTCGGAGTAGTGACTGCCATGCGTGTGCTTCGGTACGCATTGCTTGTGTTGAGTTGAGTCCGTGTGCGTGTGTGTGTGTGTGCACACTTCCAGGAGATGCGTAGCTTGCAGGAGGGAGCTGAGGAAGCTGCTGCGAAGCTCAGCCTTGTGTTAGCTAAGCAACTGGTGAGAGAAGGATGTTTGTTATGTGGCACCTCTAGTAACTTGTTTCTTATACACACATATTTTGCATATGTATGTATATGTATATGTTTATGTATGTGTATTATTTTCAGAAGTCAACTTCTGGTGAAATAGGACTTCCTCTTTGCAAGACATTGGGCTTTCAAGCTCTAGTTCCCCTGTATGGGTCTTGGTCCACATGTTTGACTTTTGAGGCGCCTCAAAAGCTCTAGTTCCCCTGTACGGGTCTTGGTCCACATGTTTTCGCAGTACCATGTATCCTTTTCCTGTTAACGCAATTATATCTGGTCTCGGGCCTTCTACTGCTGTGTTCGTTTTGTGACTGCATGCAGGTGACTCTAATGAAGGGTGACATGAGCTGCAAGGTCGACCCTGTTACAGGAACAGCTTTCACCCTCGCCATACCCATACTCTCTGCTCCACCACAGCTGCCCCAGACAAGCCTTTCTTCAACAGCCCTCCACCAGATCAACCTGTCTCATACAAGCCTGCCCTTTTTAAAAGCCGTTTTTCCGGCTGCCACTCCTGCCACTGCACCTGCTGTCGATGCCGCGCCTTCTGCTCAAGTGGACGGCTGGGAGAACCATGGAACCATGGCCATGGGAGCCATGGTTACCATGATGCTCGGCGGCATGGGACGGGACCTTTCTGCAGACCTTTCTGGAGTGCTGGTGGTGGCGGATGGCCAGCCGGAGAGAGCAAAGGTAACTTGCAGATTCTAGCCTGGAAGCTCGGTGTGTCCAGCCCTCATTACACCGAGGTAGCTGCCTGCTGCTAGGTAGGATTCCGGTGTTATGTTGCTTCCATGCCTCTAGCAACGGCCGCATATGAGCAACCATCCCCCATACTCTCATCCCGTTTGTGTGCAAACCCGCCCTGCCTTCCCTCCCACCCACCAGCTGACCACCCGTGTGTTGGTGCACCTAGGAGCATCCGTGCTGCTGGCAAATGATGAAGTGGCAGCAGCTCGGTACTTACCCGGTGTATTGGTTGGTTCTTCTAAATTCACCGGCCAACCATCGCCAATCCCCTGTGTGCCTACCCTCTCGTTCCCCCCCACCAGCTGACTTCCCGTGTGTTGACACACTTAGGAGCATCCGTGCTGCTGGCGAACGATGAACAGGCAGCAGCTTCCTTCTTAGCCGATTCTCACACCTCCCACCAACGATCTTCACGTTCCCACTCGCACCAGCAGCACTTAGTTAAGTTGTGTGGGAAGCAGGTGGTGGTGGTAGTGAGCGGGGAGGCTGGCCTGAAGAGGTTCCAAGAGGCGTTTTCTCAACTGGTGCAACAGGAGCAGCAAGAGCAGCAGCAGCAACAAATGGAGCTAGAGGAGCAAGAGCAGAATCGCGCAGTTGTGTGCAGCACAAGTGATCGCAGGAGAAGCAAATTTCACGACTGCAGTCCCTTGTGCTGCGCGCCACTGCACAGCCCGGCCCTGCTTGGCATCGTGGTGCTTGTAGCAAAAGGGGGCCTTAGTGAAGGGGCCGACGAGGGCACGGAAACTAGGAAGGGAGCTGTTGGTGGTGGCGACAGAAGGGAGCAGCAGGGGGTTGGCATGACAGATGGACAGAAACGTGCTGATGCTTTCACCACTGGCAGTAGTGAGGGGGATAGTGAGGGCACGGAAAATAGTAGGGAAGTTGTTGGTGGTGGAGACAGAGGGGAGCAGCAGGGGTTAGGCATGGCAGATGTAGATGGACGTGCAAATGGCAGTGATGGCAGTTGTGCTGATGCTGCTGCTGAAGCTGAGACTGATGCTTGTTCTGATGCTTGTTCTGATGCTGGTTCCTTTTCTTTTCTCAATAGTGCTGATTGTGCTGATGCTGGTGGTGCCAAAGCTAGTGGTGGTGCCGAAGCTAGTGGTGGTGCCGAAGCTAGTGGTGGTGCCGAAGCTAGTGGTGGTGCCGAAGATAGTGGTGGTGCCGAAGCTAGTGCTGCTGTCAACGCTGACGCTCATGCTGATGCTGATTCTGATGCTGATACCAGCAGGCAGAGCGATTTCAAAGAGGCGGCCACGCATGGAGATTCCAGGGAGGAGGGTATCGATGGCCTTTGTATCAGTCGGCTTGAAAGCAGTATCGAGGATAGGGATGAAAGCAATATTGCGGAAGGGCGTGAAAACAATCTGAAGGAGGGAGGTGAAAGCACTGTGGAGGAAGCGGTTGTGGGTGGCAAAGGCATGGTTCCAGTGGTGCTGTGTCAGCGGCCTCTCTTCTCCCACCACCTGCTCTCTGCCATTCAGGTACGCTGCCACCTGCCATTCTTGTCTCCTAAAACTGTATGAATCATCGCACTTCTGATCTACCTGTCTCTTTCCTTGTTTAACGTCTCTCTCTATCCTCTCACTGCCTTCTCTCCGCCCTCTCTTCCTGCCCATTCCTCTCCTTCCTCTCCTCCCTCTCGTCCGTCTCACCTAAACCATAATTCCGCACCAGCACGGCCTCAACAGTTGCACCACCCACCTTCTCATGACTCTCCACCCTCTCATCCCACTTCTCCCTCTCACCCCCGTCCCCCTTCAACCCTGTCCCGCAGACCATACTCCTCCCACCAGCATCGCCTTCACCACCCACCTCGTTATACTTCAACCTCTCGTTAACCTCTCATTTCACTTCTCCCTCTTTATCCCTTGGCCTCCCTCTCACCCCTGTCCCGCAGACCATACTCCTACACCAGCATCGCCTGCACCACCCACCTTCTCCCTACCCAGCCGGATCTCAGCAGTCAGCCACCACTGCTACTGCCAATGTCACTGCCTCTGCCGCTGCTGCTGCCACTGCCACTGCTCCTGCTGTGGGCCCAGCCGCTTCCATGCCATCGCCAATAACACTAACAGCAGCACTCACTCCGGCTGCAACCTCTGCTGCTACAGCCTCTGTTGCGACAGCTGTGCCTGCTGCTATCCCCACTGATGCTTCAAGTGGTGCTGGCATTGGCAGTTCTAATGCCGATTGCAGAAAGAGGGTTACATTTATGGAGGGGGGGAGTCGAGGTGGAGGGCCAGCAGGGAGAGGGGGAGCAGAAGGAGTGGGAGCAAAGGAGCGAGCGGCGGCAGCAGGAGAAGGAGCAACCGCAGCAGGAGGAGGGGTTGCGGCAGGTGGAGGGGTTGCGGCAGGAGGAGGGGTTGCGGCAGGAGGAGGGGTTGCGGCAGCAGCAGCAAGAGGAGGAGGAGTAGCAGCAGGAGGAGAAGGGGAAGGGGAGAGTCTGCTAGCTGGGCTGAGAATCATGGTACAACCAATTAACCTCTCTCACTCCACCTGTCAAGCATGTGTTAGCCTCTTATCATCCGGTTTACAACCCGCAACCTGTTTTTTCCGATCCCCCTGTTTCCTTTCTCCTGCTGTTTCACTCCCTACCCGGTGCACGCAAGAGCGCCGCACTCCTACTTAGTGCATAAGAGAGCTCTACGGCTCGAACCTTTCTTACCTTGTGAGAACCTTTCTTACCTTGTGAGAACCTTTCTTACCTTGTGAGAACCTTTCTTACCTTGTGAGAACCTTTCTTACCTTGTGAGAACCTTTCTTACCTTGTGAGAACCTTTCTTACCTTGTGAGAACCTTTCTTACCTTGTGAGAAACTTTCTTACCTTGTTAGAACCTTTCTTACCTTGTGAGAACCTTTCTTACCTTGTAAGAACCTTTCTTACCTTGTGAGAACCTTTCTTACCTTGTGAGAACCTTTCTTACCTTGTGAGAACCTTTCTTACCTTGTGAGAACCTTTCTTACCTTGTGAGAACCTTTCTTACCTTGTGAGAACCTTTCTTACCTTGTGAGAACCTTTCTTACCTTGTGAGAACCTTTCTTACCTTGTGAGAACCTTTCTTACCTTGTGAGAACCTTTCTTACCTTGTGAGAACCTTTCTTACCTTGCAACTCGCATTCTGCCCCAACCCGCCCCTCCCTGTCGGTCTCACTAACCTGCCCAATCTCCAGGTGGTGGACGATGCGGCGGTGAATCTGCTGGTGCGCGCCGCACTCTCTTTCCCCCCAACTTGACCCAACCCACCTCTCCCTGTCTGTCTCGTTCTCCTTCCCTCTCCTGTCGTTCCCTCACCATCAGGTGGTGGACGATGCGGCGGTGAATCTGCTTGTGGCGCGCCGCACTCTCACTCGCAGCGGCGCCACCGTCGCCACCGCAGGCAGTGGGGAGGAGGCGCTGCGGCAAGTCAAGCTCGCTCTGGAGGACACTGCGGGGGCGGTGCATGCACATGTGGATGTGGTGCTCATGGACCTGCAGATGCCCCTTATGGACGGGTGAGTGGCGGTAGGCGGTGGGGCGTTTGGGAGCATGAATGTGCGAGAAGGGTGGACATCACAGGAGGCACATGTGGATATGGTGCTCATGGACCTGCCGATGCCCCTCATGGACGGGTGAGTCGTGTTGTGGGCATGGATGGGAGCGTGGGAGAATTGGGGATTGTGTCGTCCAAGTGGCATGTGCATGTGGTGCTCATGGACCTGCAGATGCCGCTCATGGACGGGTGAGTGGCCTGTGCATTGCTGATGGGTACGTTTTGGGCATGGATGGGTGAGTTGAGTCGCTTGTGTTGGCGGGTGAGAGAGCGAGAGATAGAAAGCTTTACAGGGAGTGGATGTGGTGCTCATGGACCGGTTTTTGAGTCGACTCAAAAACCGACTCATCACACGCGGAGCTTTACAGGGAGTGGATGTGGTACTCATGGACCGGCGGCGGAGCGCATGCACCTCATGGATGGGTGAGCCATATGCATGGACGGATGAGTCGTGTTAATGCATAGTCAAAGCCTTGACATGAATGCCGCACTTATCACTTTGACTGACTGCCTGTCTGTGGTGTTTGCCAGGAGTCATTCTTCTCCTCTGCCTCCTCCCAATGCTGAGTGCTCTCCACTACTGTCTCTCTCTGTGCCTCGCGGTCATACCCCCCAGGTTCGCAGCCACAGCAGCCATACGAGCACACGAGCAAGCCCTGCTTTGTCATCCTGCATCTCCACCAGAAGCCACAGCCAGAGCAGCAACGGCAGATGCACAATCATGCACACAAGCATCAGTCAACCCCGCCATCCCTCGGCTCCTCATAGTGGCTCTCACAGCAGATGTGGATGCTGAAATCACTCGGCGCTGCCTTGCAAGTGGTTTTGATGGCGTTTTGCAGAAGCCTGTCGACCCAAAGCTGCTGGCGCAACTGCTGCTCCGGCTTGGTTTCCCAAAGCTGTGTGCGCCAGGCTAGGCCGGAGCACTTCGTTCAAATCCGCCGGCTGTAGTGTGGTACATATGTTTTATGCTCAGTGAGGGAGATCAGTTTGCTGTGATGTAAATCCATTTATGTTATTAATTACATTGAAGGCCACAGTTTTACATTTGGCTTGTATCACTGTTTTGTTTTGTTTCCGCCTGCCATCTACAGTGGTCCTGCCACCACCCAGGGATACGCCCTAAGCCGCTCCGGGCTTCACGGAACGCGCCGCGAGGCCAAGCTGACCTCTTCCGGACACGTACTTGACCAGACCAAACCGGACTCCGTCCCCTCTCACCATTCCAGTTTTCATCGAATCCCTAGTTCGATTCAATTCTCTGTTCTGCACGTTGCTCTTCATCAAACTTCCCTCGCTGATTCCTCACGTTTCCAACACCTTCCTTCCACTTCTTCCAATATACCAGTAGGTCATACGCCGCCGTTCTGCACTTCCCCGAATCCCGAGCCAGTTTCAGTTCTTCTCACGTCCGCACTTACTCCATGGCAATTTTTCGTTCATGTAGGTTCTCTTGGGTCATGGTTAGCCTATCATTCTAGCAGACTCTACCTGAACGGGTGTGACCAACGATGACTGTCGATTCGAGAGCAGCGCCCCTTGCCAGAAGCTCAAGTCTGTTAGAGGCGGCTTTGTGGAAGCTTTGAGGGCAGCGACTTCTGGGACGGCTCACAACACTTCTCAGTTGAAATTTGTTGGATTCGAAACGCAGCAAGCCTGCGACACTTCTGGGACGACTCAGAACACTTCTCTGAAAAAACTCCTCTAAGAAACTTCTGGACCGTTCTAGGATTTAGTAGGAACGCAACGCCGTCGCCTAATCATCTATCGGGCAATGTGCGGCGAGGGTCGCAACGCCTCGTGCGGCCTGGTTCTTCATGAAAGGTCCCCTGCTGCGAGCAGTGCTGCCACGCGGCTCTCCCCCTTTCAGATCGCTCGTCGGCCGTCGCACACCGTCGCTCGTCCATCGTCGCACGCCGTCGCTCGTCGCTCGTGGCGCGTCCTCCTTCTCCTGCTCCTTGCCCTCGCTCTCGCAACCCGCCTTGCTGCCGCGTCTGGTGCGCTCGTGATTTGGGCTCTTCCCCTCTCCTTTTTCCTTCTCCTCTCTCCCCTCTTTCCTTCCCCTCTCCTCTCTCCACTCTCCCCATTTTCCTTCTCCCGTCTCCCCTCCCTCTCTCAACCCCCTCCTCCTCTCTTATCTACCCCCCTTCCCCTCCCCTCCCCCCTCTCCGCTCTCCTCTCGGCCTCCTCTCATCACTCCTTTACTTTCTCTTTCCTTCTCATGTGGCTCTTCACAACGTGCGACTGCTGCCACTCGCTTCTGTTGCATGCATGCCACTCTCATGACTTGCTTTTTGAGGCTGTTCAACAACCTTTGAGTCAACTCAAAAGTCATCTCGCGCATCAGATGGTCGTGAGACCTTTTTAGACTTTTTTTATACCTTTTTAGACCTTTTTAGACTTTTCAACAACCCACTGACGTTTCTCCCATGCAGATGACGCGGCCTCTCCTCCACCGCACGATTCTGGGTCATCAGAAGAATCAACGGCGACCACTGTGCCCGAGACGGATGCAAAGCTAGACGCTGGTTCGGATTCCAAGCCTGACGCTAGTTCTGACACTAAGCCTTCCACCGAGCCTGCTTCCGAGCCTGCCCCTGCCAACAATTTATCAAATTGTAGTTCAAGTGAGTGTCATAGATGTCTCTCCTTTAGAAGGCGATTCCACCATGCCTTATTCTCCATCTCCTTGCGGCATAAACTTACTTTCTCCCTCTGATGTTATTTCCATCCATCCATCCATCCATCCATCCATCCATCCATCCATCCATCCATCCATCCATCCATCCATCCATCCATCCATCCATCCATCCATCCATCCATCCATCCATCCATCCATCCATCCATCCATCCATCCATCCATCCATCCATCCATCCATCCATCCATCCATCCATCCATCCATCCATCCATCCATCCATCCATCCATCCATCCATCCATCCATCCATCCATCCATCCATCCATCCATCCATCCATCCATCCATCCATCCATCCATCCATCAATCCATCCATCCATCCATCTGTTCACTATCCCTTTCCCACACCCTCCCCCGTCCATTCTGCCCCCCAATTCCCTGCATCCCTCCACCCCCTCCCCCAGACGACACCCCCAGCCCATGGGTCTGCCCTTGCCATAACATCTACTGAAGCAATGTGTGTACCTTTCTCCTTCCAAACCCCTGCGCCCTTCCACCCCCTCCCCCAGACGACACCCCCAGCCCATGGGTCTGCCCTTGCCATAACATCTACTGAAGCAATGTGTGTACCTTTCTCCTTCCAAACCCCTGCGCCCTTCCACCCCCTTCCCCAGACAACACCCCCCCAGTATGGGTCTGCCCCTGCAATTCCTCCTTCAACCCATCACCCACCCAACCTCCTAGCACCTCCATCCCCACTATAGACATCGCCTTTAAGGGCGAGTTTGGGTACGAACTGATTGCAGTTCTGCCGCACGCCTACTGGCATTTCCTCAACGGAACTCTCCGATCCACCAGGGCTTGTGCCTCTCCTCTTTCTCTCCTCTACTATTTCAGCCCCAACCACTCCACAGACCCAGACTGTAAACGCTCCAACGATTACAATTACGTTATTAAACAGTACGGTTTCACGAAGGGCCTTCATTATAGTGACATTCCGCAGTATTGGCATCCCCCTCCGTTAGTGCACCGGACACGGGAGCTGGGGCGAGTGTGGCTGGATGTTCCTGTAGGGGGGGCTCCGCTTGTGATTATAAGCAACAAGTATGAGGTTGAATGGGCAGAACCGCCCATTAATTTCATTGATGTCCCGACCCTCATTACAATTGCACGCGAGTTTCTCGATAAGGGGTATTATGTGGTGTATAACCGGCCTGGGAATTCGATCAACGCAGACCCGGAGCAAGGAGACAGGCTTGATTTGGGGGACCACCCGAGGCTGGCTGAGGAGTTTGGTTCGGAGGCTCGGTTCCGAACCATGCAGCAGATTCACGAGGCTTGGCCGAGCCTAAGTTTCAACGAGGTTCAGTTTCGAATGATGGCCCGAAGCTCCTGCTTCATCAGTGTGCAGGGGGGAACATCTGTACTATCCAGCTACTGGGGTGGGCAGAATATTATACTCTATCGCAAGGGGTGGGAAGGTCCGGGTAGGTCATATGAGAGGATATATCATAGATTGTCACGGGCAAGGATAGAGGTGACTAGGACGAATGAGGTTCTGCTAGAGAGAGTGCAGGATATGATTCGACGGGACCAGTGCCAAGCGGTGTGATGCTTCAAGTTACGGTACACCTGGCCTTTCACCTGACCTGAACCCTGAACCCTGAAGCATAACTGTGCGTACACTATGTACCTATCTCTTTCTGTGAGTGCTTCGTGATAAGCCCAGCAACTGGCGGCATGCTTTCAGCAACTTGCAACAAAACCAGTTTCACTGGTAGAGGCATGCCCTGACAAGCCCTGCCATCCACCTCCCTAATACCTAGGCGTCATTAGGAAATGATGGTGCAGGACCATCAACTTCCCCATGCGTACAACGCGTGCAATGCGCACTAGCAAATTCCGGTTCAACTACCTGGTTTTAATACCCTGAAGCATGAAGAACAAGACACATTAGGCACCTTGTTAACAATTATATACAGCGTAATTAGCTCCAATCCAGGGTGGTGTAACAATGGCTTCTGCCGAAGCCCCTCCTGCCCCTCCTGCTCGTCTTGCTTGCCATCTACTGCTGCTGAGGCCTTCGGCGTTTTCCCTCGGTACTTACGGTACTTGTCTATTTGCTCTGGGTGTGCTCACTAACAATCAACACCAGCGCACAGACCACAGACCCAGTGGCCTTAACTGCAATCGCAATTACTGCCGCTGCTGCTGCTGCTGCTGCTTGTGCTGTTGCTGCTGCTGTTTATGCTCTTGCTGCTGTTGCTCCAGCTCTGCCCGACGCTGCACCAGCATAAACGACAGCACAGCAGGCAGGCACGACCACACCACCAGCCGTGGTGGCAATCTCCGGCACCCACTGATCCCGCACCATCACAAAGTAACTTACTGCTGCTGACCTGCTTCTGCTGCTGCTGCTGCTGTTACTTCTACTGCTTTTCCTGCTGCTGCTGCTCGTTCTGCTTCTGCTGTTGCTCCACTTCCCCTGGCTGCACAAGCCTAGGCGGCAGCACAGCGGGCACCACCACACCAGCAGCTGTAGTAGCAATTTCCGGCACCCGCGGCACCCACTGATCGGGCACCATCACAAAGTACGTCTGCATGGCCTTCCGGAACCGTTTCTTGTAGTTGGATGGAGATATGACCGTCGGTGTAGAGTCCTTGCCTGCCCCGCCGCCCCCTAGAAGCCCAGACGCCTTGACCCATGTTTCCAACTGCTTGTCCCATGTGTAGGGGCGGATGAAGTCTATGATTCCTACCACCAGTGTTGACCGCTCCTCTTCTACCCCCACCAACAGCGAATAGTCCATAATTGCGTGCTTCTGCATGTGGGAAACGGGAAGGGAGAGCAGGCGGGAAGGGATGGTGTGTGCAAGATATCAGGAGCAGCCCAGATGCCTCGCCTTGACCCATGTTTCCAGCTGCTTGTCCCATGTGTAGGGGCGGATGAAGTCTATGATTCCTACCACCAGTGTTGCCCGCTCCTCTTCTACCCCTACCAGGAGCGAATAGTCCATTATTGCATGTCTCTGGAGGTGGGGGAGGGGGAGCAGGTGGGAAGGTATGGTGCGTGTGGGGAATCAGGGGCAGTCCAGACGCCCAGACGCCCAGACGCCCAGACGCCCAGACGCCCAGACGCCCAGACGCCCAGAGGCCCAGACGCCCAGACGCCCAGACGCCCAGACGCCCAGACGCCCAGACGCCCAGACGCCCAGACGCCCAGACGCCCAGACGCCCAGACGCCCAGACGCCCAGACGCCCAGACGCCCAGACGCCCAGACGCCCAGACGCCCAGACGCCTTGACCCACGTTTCCAACTGCTTGTCCCATGTGCAGGGGCGGATGAAGTCGATTATCCCCACCACCAGTGTGGATCGCTCCTCTTCTACCCCTACGAGCAGAGAATAGTCCACTACGTTCCCTTCCCCATCTCCAGTCCACTATTGCGTGTTTCTGGAGATGGGGAATGGAACGGAACAGGTGGAGAGGGGTGGTGAGTGAACCATTACATTTGTACCTGATTCTCAACCGCTCTCATACCACCGCGAGGAAGGCAGAGTCGTTCCAAACGTCCTGCTCTCAACCGCTCTCAACCCCTCTCATCTCGTCTCACCGCGAGGAAGGCACACGGCCCGCTCCAGCAGCTGCTTGGAGGTCAACACCTACCCCACCCACCTGATTCTCAAACTGCTCTCAACCGCTCTCAATCCTTCTCGTCTCACCGCGAGGAATGCAGTGTCGTTCCACACAGCGCGCTCCAGCAGCTGCTTGGAGGTCAACACCTACCCCACCCACCTGATTCTCAAAATGCTCTCAACCGCTCTCAATCCCTCTCGTCTCACCGCGAGGAATGCAGTGTCGTTCCACACAGCGCGCTCCAGCAGCTGCTTGGAGGTCAACACCTACCCCACCCACCTGATTCTCAAACTGCTCTCAACCGCTCTCAATCCCTCTCGTCTCACCGCGAGGAATGCAGTGTCGTTCCACACAGTGCGCTCCAGCAGCTGCTTGGAGGTCAACACCTACCCCACCCACCTGATTCTCAAACTGCTCTCAACCGCTCTCAATCCCTCTCGTCTCACCGCGAGGAATGCAGTGTCGTTCCACACAGCGCGCTCCAGCAGCTGCTTGGATCGTTTTCCCACGAAGATGGGCGACGTGGGCATGGCTTCTAGAAGGTTCTCGTCCAGCAGTACCTGGGATGATGGAGGGGAAGAAGGGAAATGGGGAAAGGGGGATGAGGGGTTCGGGGCTTAGGGGAGGCATGACGTGGGCATGGCTTCTAGAAGGTTCTCGACCAGCAGTACCTGGGATGATGGAGGGGAAGAAGGGAAATGGGGAAAGGGGGATGAGGGGTTCGGGGCTTAGGGGAGGCATGACGTGGGCATGGCTTCTAGAAGGTTCTCGACCAGCAGGTATCTGATATGAGAGGGCGTGAGGGGGAGGTGGGTTTGAGGAGGAGAACGAGAAGGGAGAGGAATTGCAACAGAGAGTGGAAGATGGGGGACGTGGGCATGGCCTCTAGTAGGTACTCGTCCAGCAGTACCTGGGGTGAGGAGAGAGGGGGAGGAGGGAAGAGAATGGGAAAGAGACGGGGGAAACGAGGACTTAATGTGGGAATGATTTATCACAAATGCATGTACAGGAAAGCCGTACCACAGGTGTATGTACAGGTCCCCCCACCCTACCCCACCCTACCCCACGCAGCCCCTTGCTCACGCACCCTGCTCTTGGAGCGGTCTGCGTTGTATCTGGAGCGACGAGAGCCCTTGAGATCGTAGAGCTTGGTGATCCGACGGCCGTAGAGCAGGTTCTCCATGACCATCACGTCCATAGTCACGCCCTTTGCTGTCACCTGCAGACAGGCACACGCATGCACGCATGGGACACAAGGTGGAGAGAGAGAGGAACAGAGAACGGAGAGCAGAGCCAAGGCATTAATCGGCTAAGAAATCGTATCTCCATGACCATCACGTCCATAATCACACCCTTTGCTGTCACCTGCTGCACCATTCACGCGCACGGGACGCGCAAGATGCAGAGAGAAGGGAGCAGAGAGCAAAGTAATTTTTTTAGTGGATTTAAAAGAGGGCAGAGAGCAAAGAGGCTTTTCATCGCCATGACGTCCCAAGTCACGCCCTTCTTAGCCTAACAACATTACTTTGAATCAACCACACCCGTCACACACTATCCCCCACACACACTATTCCCCACACACACTATCCCCCACACACACTATCCCCCACACACACTATCCCCCACACACACTATCCCCCACACACACTATCCCCCACACACACCTCACAACCACACCTGGTAGAGGCCGAGGATCTTGGCAAGCTATTGACTTCACTCCAGAGTCACGTTTAGTTGACTTCAAACCCACCACACACAACCTTCCACCACACACAACCTTCCACCACACACAACCTTCCACCACACACAACCTTCCACCACACACAACCTTCCACCACACACAACCTTCCACCACACACAACCTTCCACCACACACAACCTTCCACCACACACAACCTTCCACCACACACAACCTTCCACCACACACAACCTTCCACCACACACAACCTTCCACCACACACAACCTTCCACCACACACAACCTTCCACCACACACAACCTTCCACCCGCACAGACCCGTCAGAAGCGTGCACACCTGGTAGAGGCCGAGGATCTTGGCAAGGCAGGAGGGGTTGCCAGACTCGATGGCGTCAAAGAGGTGCTTGAAGTAGTCGTTGGCGAAGTCCAGGAATGCCAGTATCTCCTTGCGTTGCACCTTATAACGGGGATGAGGGAGATTGGAGGGGGAAAACACAAGGGCTTGGCTGTAAGTGGAAGAAAAATATGAGAGAGAGAGAGAGAGAGAGAGAGAGAGAGAGAGAGAGAGAGAGAGAGAGAGAGAGAGAGAGAGAGAGAGAGAGAGAGAGAGAAATGAGGGGGGGTGGGGGGGGGAGAGGCGGGGGAGAGGAGAAGGAAGAGGAGAGGAGAGCGCAGAGGCGAGGAGAGGGCAGAGGGAGGGCAGAGCCAGAGGATAGGAGAGGTCACCCCACCTGTTTGAGTCGACTCAAAAAGAGGGAGAGAAGAGGGAGGGCAGAGGGAGGGCAGAGGGAGGGCAGAGCTAGAGGACAGGAGAGGTCGCCCCACCTGTTTGATGACAAAACTGTCGTCCGCAGTCTTGGCGAAATACAAAGAGCTCAGAAAACAAATTATACTTTGAGAAATTAAAAAGCTTCGCCCCACCTGTTTGATGACAAAGCGGTCGTCCGCAGTCTTGGCAAAATACACGGAGCTCTTGCCGCCCTCGGCACTCCAGCGCTTGCAGCGGCACAGCGAGCGCACAAACTCCACATCGCCACTCCCGTCCACCACCCCTTCCCCTGCCGCCGCTGCGCCTGCCGCCCCTGCTGCTCCTGCTGTCCCCGCTGCTGTCCCTTCTCCTGTGTCAGCTCCAGCCTTCTGCTGACTGGATGAGGCAGCGGCCGGGGCGAGCGGGGGGAAGGGCGAGCAGCACTTGCGGCGGAGAGCGTCAAACTGCTTGGCGAAATAAGCGGTCACTTGGAACGACGCTGCAGAGCCGCTCCCCCCACCAACCCCACCAGCAATCCCACGGCGGCGGCTACTGCTACCGGCACCCACCGGCGTCGACGCACCACTGCCTATACCGCCACTGTTCATGCCACTGCTGGTCATGCCGCCAATGCCGCTAATGCCACTGCTGCCTACAGTGCCAGAGGTGCCAGCAGGGTTGGTGCTGGGGCCGGGGAGGAAGGGTAGTGCAGGAAAGGGCAGGGTATCGTCACCTCCCCCTACTGTGAATGCCACTTTCACGTGCCGCTTCTCCCGGGATAAAAGCGGGTCCTCCTGAGACGGCGCTGGCACTGCTGTTTCTTCCCGGGCTGGCACAGGCAGTGGCACTGTGTCACCCCCGGCTGGCTGCGCTTGTAATGGTTCCTGCTGCGATTGCAACGCTTCTGGCTGTGCTTGAGAAGCTTCCTGTTGTGATTGCGATGCTTCTGACCCTGGTTGTGACGCTTCTTGTTGCACTTGTTGCGCTGTCTCCGGCTTTGCCTGTAACGGATCGTGCTGTACCGAGGATGCAGGCTGAGGGTCTTGCGGCGACAGCCCAGGGCCAGCATCTGCCTTGCATACTCCCTCCTCCTCTCCGGAATCAACGCACCTGCCTCCACCACTAGCGCCACTGCCCTCAGCAGCAGCACCATCATCAGCAACATCAACACCAGGACTAGCACCATCCCCCTCCACTCCTGGCGTTCTCAGCTCGGCCCTAGATCCTACCCCACCACTCTCAACTCCCTCGCTATCTTCTCTACCTGGCCCCACACCTCTGCTCGCCAACCCAGCCCCACTACCAGCAACCCCATTCGGGTCATCCCCTTCCCCATCACCATCCTCGCTCTCTCCCCTACACGCTCCCATCCCCTCTGCACTAACAACACTTCCATCAGACGATGCCCGCATTTTTGCAGCACTGTCTGCTGAAGCAGCATCTGGCTCATGGCTCTGCCCTTTGTTGTGCGTCGAACTGCCATTGCCATGGGCCACTGATGCTGCTTCAATACCTCCTCCATCGTCTCCCCCACCAAGGCTTCTGCCCTCTGCAGCCCCACACACTTCTCCTGCTGCTGCTGCTGCTGCTGCTGCTGCTGCTGCTACTCCTGCACCTAAGCTCGCTAACTCTGCTCCACTTCCCTCTCCCCTTCCTGTAATTAGATCGACTCCTCTCCCTTCTCCTGCTGCTGACTCCTTACCTGCTGCCTCTGCACCTGTAGTAGACTGTACATCCACTGCTGCGCCAGCATCTGTGCTGGCTGCTGCAGGTTCTAACGGCCTGGTAGCAGCACCGGCCGGAGAGGCATCGGTGCGACAGGTGTTCTGCGTGAGTGAATCTGCTGGAGGGGCAGCACTGCTGCAAGTCGCCTCTTCTCTAGCTGCTCCTTCTGCGCCTGCTGAACTGGAAACGGCTCCTCCGGCTGCCACTGCTGCTACTGGACTTCCTTGTCCTGATGCTGCTGTTGCTGCTGCTGCTGCTCCTCCTCCTGCTGCAGCATCCAACTCAACCACTGCCGCCGCCGCCGCCACTGCTGCTGCAGCCGCAGCTGCTGCAGAGGCTTGCCTCACCAGCTCACCCACTGCTTTCGCCCCCACCACCTCCGATTCCACCACTCTGCCACTCCCCCCAACCCCCCTGGCCGACACTCCAGGCCCAAACACACTCCCTATTTGCCCCACATTCACACCCACACCTGCACCAGCACCCACACCAGCACTCGCAATCCCTCCCCCAGCAGCAGACGCATTAGCGACAGCAGCAGCACCACTATTGGCGTTTTGAGCAGAGGAACCGAGGACAGCAGCGGCACCATGCACGGCGCGGTAATACTCATTGGACGAGATGGCATAGGCGATGAGCGACGTGGGCTCGTCCTCATACACCGCTATGATGCGCCCGCCGATGCCGGGGGGGAGCAGCACATGTGCTCGGCCAAGCAAGGCCGGAGGGTACTGCTGGAGAACGGGGAACATGTGTATAAACAAAATGGAATGAAACATTTTGTAGGGTTTTTTTTTCTTAGAATTCTCAATAAAACCCTACAGCAACGGGGAACATGTGTATAAACAAAAAGGAATGAAACATTTTGCACACAGAACAGTGATCGAGGGAGGAATTTGAAAAACGACTACACAGATGCGTGCACCAGCTTGCCAATGGCTCACAGCACGTATATGCATCCACGCATGCATGCCAGTGCATGCCAGTGCATGGCAATGCATGGCAATGCATGGCAATGCATGACGATGCATGGCGATGCATGGCGATGCATGGCAATGCATGACGATGCATGACGATGCATGGCGATGCATGGCGATGCATGGCGATGCATGCATGACCTTGCTACGCTTACCAGCTTGCCAATGGAAGCCAGAGACGGCACACCACTGGAGGGGCCGGCCAGGGAGAGGAAGGATGGTGAGCGGGAGAGGGGCGAGGCTGTTGTGCCTGTGGCAGGGTGGTTGATAGGCGTGCCTGCAAGCGGCCTGCTGCTGCTGCCTGCTGTATTGCAGCTGAAGGAACGTACTGGTGCTGCTGCCGCCTCCTCTGACGCTGCTGCTGCTGCTGCATCAGCTTCGGCAGCACCAGCAGCACCAGCAGCATCAGCAACAGCAGTAGCAGCAGCAGCAGCAGCAGCAGCAGAAACAGTGGTAGCTGGCAGAGCTGCAGACTCAGGTGTGGTTGTTGCAGTTGCAGCTGGCACAGCAGCAGCGGAGGGTGCTGCGTCTGCATCCCTGGTCGACTCATGCAGAGAATCTCCAGAGGCAATTGCAGGGGAGCAAGCAGCTGGACCTGCTTCTACACCTCCTGTTGCTGCCGCTGCTGCTGCGGACCCTGTTCCACTGTTAATGGCCGTTGCTGCTGCTGCTGCTGGATGGGCAACTGCAGGCGCTACTGTTGCGGTTGGTGTTTCTTCTGCAGGACCCTTGCTGCCACTTGCTGCTGCTGCCGGTGCGCTTGCTGCTGCTATCTTCGCGCTCGCTGCTGGTGATGGTGCATCTGCTGTGCCCCCAGAAGCCACCGAGCCACCAGGCAGCGGCGCACGGGGAGGGAGGCTGGAGCGACGAGAGAGACGCGGAGTGCTAGCAGCAGCAGCTGGGGGTGCCGCCAATGCGCCTGAAGCAGCTAATGACAGTACTGGTGTCACTGCTGGCACAGACACTGTTCGTGCGTCTGCTGAGATGGCCAGAGATTCTTTCAGCTGCTGTTCTCCAAGTTTCCTTCCTTGCTCCTCAACTCTCTCCTCATCCTCAGCTCCTCTTGCTCCACCTGCGTTGTTCCTCTCGTCGACCCCATCCCCTCTCGTTCCACCCTCCTCCCTCCTCTCCTCACCCCCCTGCTCAGCACTCCGCCCCTCCTCCTCTCGCATTTCCCTTTCCCTGCTCCAATCAGAGAAGCTACAGCTACCAGCGTCTCTCCCGTCTCTCCCGTCTCTCACGTCCCTCCCACTCTCCAGCGCCACAGCAGCGCCCTGTGCTGTCCCATCAGTCCCATCAGTCTCATCAGAATCATCAGTCTCAGAATGAGCGCTGCCCCCGCACTCTGCAGCAGCATCAGCAACCATCTCCCTCACACCCACCCCATCCACACTATCACCAGCCTCAGAAGAAAATTCCTCCTTCTTTCCCTCCTCAAAATTCCCCGCATCCTCTTCTGCTGTCTCCTCCACTTCACCTGCAACCTCTGCCGCACTCACCTTGTCTGTCCCCATTGCGTTCTCCTCCCCTGCGTTCTCCTCCTCTTCCGTTCCCTCCCGTGCGTTTCCCTCCCCTGCCTTCTCCTCGTTTGTCCTCTCCTCCCCTGTCTCGCCTTCCTCTGTCTGCTTCTCCCCCGCCTTCTCCTCGCTTTCCTCCACCGCCCCTGCCTTCACCTCAACATCTCTTTCCCCATCCCTTTCCTCGCCCACCTGAGCCTGTCCCTCCACCAGCGATGCAGCACTGTTGACGCTGGCAGGTCGGGAGAATGGGAGCAGGAACGACCCCCATGCGCCTGACAGAGCACTGCTTAGACCTGCTGCCATGCTCGGCCTCACTGATTCTGTCGCTGCCGCTGGTGCTGCTGCTGGCGCTGGTGCTGATGCTGCGGCTGACTGTGTTGGTTTTGCAGCCGGTGCTGCTTCCGCTGATGGTGGTGGTGGTGCTGCTGCCGCTTTTCCTGCTTCTGTGGCTGTTTCTGGTGCAGGTGCTGGAGTTGGTGCAGCTGTTGCTGCCATTGCTGTTACCACTGCTCCTGCTGGTGCTTCTTCTGCCGCAACTGCTGCTGTCGGCACTGCTCCAGGTAACACAGTTACAGCCACTGCAGATGAAGCAGGTATAGAAACTCCTGGTAACACAACTGGTAGAACCGATGGTAAGGCTGCTGCTGGTAGGACAGATGGTAAGGCTACTGGTAGGGCTGATGGCAAGGCCGCTGAAACGGCAGCAGGGAAGGAGGCCCACACAGGGAGATGTCCGACTGACAGCGCACGTGGCACCACTGCTGCTCCTGCCACTCCAACCGCCCAGTCAGCAACTGCTGCAGCATCCGCTGCTGACTCAGCGACCGCCACGTCAGCTGCCACGTCAGCACCAAGGAGAGCAGCAGGACCATTTGCCTGTGCGGCTGCTGGTGCAGTGGCGACGGGAGTGGCGGCCTCGGTGGCAGCTGCAGCTGCAGAAGCAGAAGAAACTGCAGGAGTGATAGCAGCAAAAGCAGCAACAGCAGCAGCTGCTGCTGTAGCAACTCCTCCTCCTGCCACAGGAGCAACAGCAAGAGCAGCGGCAGGACCAGCAGCACTACCAACAGCGGCCTCAGCGCCTTGTATTGCCAGCCCTGGACTGTCTTTGCCACCCCCCCCTGCTGATCCCTGGCTCGCAGTCACAGTAAGGGGCGCCATGCTCTCATCATTCGCCTCTGGCTTCTCCTCCTCAAATGCATCTATGATACCCACTCGCAGCATGCTGCTTGCCTCAGCCTCGCACTCACTCTCAGCGTCACCACCTTGTGCATGTAGGGCTACCGCCTCACCGCCTTCCCCCACTTCTCCCTTACTGCCACCCTCTACATTCCCATGCATATCACTTGCTTTAACACCCTCCTCTCCCTTCTCCTCCAACCCACTCCCCTTAACACCCTCCTCTCCTCCAACTCCCTCCACTCCATCCTCTCCCTTCCCCTCCACTCCACTCTCCTCCACTCCTCCTTTCCCACCATCAAGCAACACTCTCCCAGAACCACTCTCAACCTCCTGCTCTCCCTCGTATTTAACCTCCTTCCCCGAAGCTTCCAATACTGGCAAAAGGGACTCTTCTGTCCCTGCTTGTCGGGCCTCTGTTCCTGCTGCATCCGGTTCCCGGGCCTCTATTTCCCGAGCCTCCGTCTCCCAGGCCTTCTTTCGCCGAGCCTCAGCGGCCCGGGCGGCGAGGTCAAGAGTGGGACTGAACAGCCCCACGGAGTCATCCCTATCCCTGCCTTGCACCTCCAGAGACCCGCCTTCTACCTGCCGCTGCGGCTGTTTCGGGCTGGCTTTTGGTGGCGAATCATTGGATGACACCTGTCCCGTAGCTAGACCAGCGCCTTTCCTGCCGTCTGGTGGCCTTGCTTCTTCTCCACCTGTTTCTGACGCTGCTTCTGCCTCAAGTGCAGCTACTGGTGCTTCGGATTGCATTGGGGTTGCTGCCATGACTGCTGCTCGTTGCTGTGGCGGCTGTTGAATCTCCGCCGTTAATCTTTGCAGCCGCTCCGCCCACTCAGCCAATTGGCCGGTCAGATCTCGCCGCACCCGGTTCAGCTCCAGAATGTCCGTCACGGGCTGCCCAGCGGGCAGACTAAAATCCGGTGCTGCCTGCTGGAGTTTATTCTGTGGAGGGAACAGTGGAGACATGGAAGAGAAGCGCAGGAGGCAGGAAGAAAAGCAAGCAGCAGCTGAGAAGCCTTAGTTGTGAGACATGTGCATGGCGAATTCTTGAGACATGAGACGAATGAGGCGCTTCAGGAAGCGAGAAACAACAAGTCCAGGTCGGTCAGTGGGTCGGTCAGTCAATCGGTCGGTCGGGATGTCGGAATGCATTGGTCGGTCAGTCAGTCCCCTATCATTACACATGCTTTCCCATGCAGTGCCACCCATCTTATCACACACGAACATCAAATGCCCATCGACACAGCACAGCACAGCACAGCACACCACCACACTACACACACCACACCACCTTCCTTCCCACACTCTCGACCCGACTCACATCAAACACGGCCTTATCGCGCTGCAGGGTAGCCTCCAGCAGCGCCAGGCTGGCCCGGGCCTCGGGGAAGCGGCTGGCAGACAGCGGGCCGCCCTGTGCCAGTCGCGCTGCAAGCGCATCGAGAGCGTTCATGATGTCCATGAACACGCGCTCCGCTGCCTCCGCCACCTGCAGGATGTGAGAGAAAGGGAGCAGAGAGACAGGGATGTGCGTTGAGGTGCCTTGTACTGCTACAACCTCCCAGTGCCAGATGGGCTGTCAGCGCATCAAGCGCGTTCATGATGTCCATGCACACGCGCTCCGCTGCCTCCGCTACCTGTAAGGGAGAAGGAGAGAGGGAGGGAGATAGGTGTGTTGAAACAGATAACGGGCTGGCCCCCACCAGACGGGCTGGCCCCCACCAGACGGGCTGGCCCCCACCAGACGGGCTGCGAGGGCGCCAAGCGCGTTCATGATGTCCATGAGCACGCGCCACCTGTGGGGGGGAGAGAGGGAGTGGAAACAAGGTGATGAGATGCCTTGCACTGCTGCAACCTCTTGACAACAGGCGGGTTGTGAGGGCGCCAAGCGCGTTCATGATGTCCATGACGACTCGCTCCGCTGCCTCCGCCACCTGTGAGTGAAAGGGAGAGCGGGAGAGAAGAGGGACAAGAGGTGGTTTGGGGCACATTGCAACCGTCCGCCACAATGCGCGCAGCGAGGGCGTCAAGCGCGTTCATGATGTTCATGACAACTTGCTCCGCTGCCTCCGCTACCTGTGGGGGCGTAGGGAGGCAAGCAGAAAGGTGGTGTGTTGGGGGACACAGAATCCTCTTAGCATCGGGCAGGCTGCAAGAGCGTCAAGGGCGTTCAAGATGTCATGGTGCTTGAAGCTCAGACACTGTAATACGAATATAATTTAACCAAGTCAACGCAGTCAACCGAGTCAACAGCAGCAGCACTCACATCGTTAAATTCGTCCACGAGCCATTGCTGCTGCTGGCGGTGGTTGAAGCTGAGGCGTAGAGGCGGCAGGCAGACGGAGTAGAGGTGCATGGGCGAGTAGGCCAGGCATGCTATCATCTCGCCACTCCTGCTCACAGGGACAAACATGCACGGTACGGGCAAAACGAATGGTACTTGTGGAGAGGGCGGGCGATTCTAATTGACTAGATGATCCACGTGAACAGGGCAGTAAGTGGGTGGCTGCAGGCTGCAGCAGCACAAGCACGGGGGGCTGAGGTAATGCCAGCAAGTAATCAGAATGCAAACCGCAATGCAATCTTTGTGGCACCCATCCACTAGTAGAAGCGCAGGCAGTCGCGGTGCAGCGAGTGGCCGCAGGCAAATCAGCACATGCAGAGCAGGACAGATGGACATAACGCCATTCCACCAACAAGCATTCCCCTACCTATGTAAAGAAGCGCCGTGCAATCACCATGGCATGGCACCCACCGGTAGAAGCGCAGGCAGTCGCGGTGCAGCGAGTGCCCACACGCCGCCAGCCGCCCCACCACCACATGATTCGTGAACGAAAGCTCCAGGAACTTTCCCAGCGACAGCTTGCACGCCGCCTCGGACATGAGCACGCGGCGCGTGGCCGGCGCCACTCCGTCCACCGGGCGGCACTGCCGGCAGCGGTGCCACATCCAGATGCACCGGGGGGCAGCGGGCGGCGGGCATGCACCGCCCACAGCAGCAGCACCAGACGACCCAACAGACACACCACCAGACACACCACCAGACACACCACCAGACACACCACCAGACACACCAGCGTCCTGACCACACCCCATATCCCCCTCCCCTGCTGCTCCACTCGTCCCCCCTCCCCCGTACCCCCCTCCGCTGCCCCCATAGGTTCCTCTCCCCCCGCTTGCTCCCCCTCCCCCTGGCAGTTGCAGGGGGTGTGTGGGGGGGAGGATGTCGTCTGCCTTGCGCACGGAGATGGTGAGGGAGCCCTCCTTGTGTGAGTAGACTCGCACGTGGTCCTGTGATGGCATGCCGCACTTGCAGCGCTGACAGGGAGGAAGGGGCATAAGCGTGAGAGAAACGGAAACATGGAGAGGAGAAGGATGTCGTCTGCCTTGCGCACGGAGATTGTGAGGGAGCCTTCTTTGTGTGAATAGACTCGCACGTGGTCCTGTGATGGCATGCCGCACTTGCAGCGCTGACAGGAGCAAGGAGGGATGGAAGGGAAGAGGGATGGGGAAACAGGGGGGAAGGGGGGCATGGAGGGGTTCGGGAGGGAGCCTTCCTTGTGCAATTACATACGTTATCTCGTGATGGCATGGCGCACTTGCATTGCAGCACTGACGAGAGGAAGGATGAACACGGAGCGAAGGGGAAGACGGAGGAAGGGAGAATGTCACTGGCCTTGCATGGAGACTGGAAGTGAGGCCTTAAGTGGATTAACTCCTTATCGTGCCTTATTAACTCCTTATTGTGCCTTATTAACTCCTTAATGTGCCTTATTAACTCCTTAATGTGCCTTATTAACTCCTTAATGTGCCTTATTAACTCCTTATTGTGCCTTATTAACTCCTTATTGTGCCTTATTAACTCCTTATTGTGCCTTATTAACTCCTTATTGTGCCTTATTAACTCCTTGTGCCTTATTAACTCCTTCTTGTGCCTTATTAACTCCTTATCGTGCCTTATGAGTCCACTTAAACGTCTTCAAACATCAAGCCCAGTCATGCACAGCACTCACCCAGAGAGGATTAAGCACGAACTGGGTGAGAAAGTGCCCCAGAGGCATGTCCCTATCGCCGTAGTACTTGATTCTCATCAGCTCCGGCGGCTCACACAGCAGCTTGCGCGACACACAGCGGCTGGACGCCCACACCAGGATCGACTGGTGCTCTGAGGGGGACACCGGCGCCAGTGGGTGGGCCAGGTGGGGCTGCGGGGTGAGGGGGGCGAGCTGGGACTGTGCTGCGAGAGAGGGGGGAATTGCGAGCGGCTGAGGAGAGGGGTCTTTCCTTTCTTCTGCTGCTGGTGCCACGGCTGCTGCTGGTGCTGTGGCTGCTGTTGGTAGTGGGAGTGGTGGTGCGTCAGGCGCTGCTTCTGGGGTGGTGGATGGGGATGCGTCCGTCATAAGAACCCCCCCGCTTTGTACAGTTGCAGTGGGAAATGCATCACCAGCAGCAGCAGCAGCAGCAGCAGCAGCAGCAGAAGCATCGGAATCTGTTCCTTCCAGCAAAATCGCAATGCCAACCCCCCCCTGCTGCCGCTGCTGCTCCGGCTGCTGTGGAGGAGGAGGAGAAAGCACCCCTGCAGGCTGCTGTGATTGATTCAAGGGCAGCTCCTCACCCACCAGTGGCTGCTGCCCCTGTGCTGATGCATGCGCCATCATCCCCTCACCACCTGCTACCTCTGCTGGTGCTGGTGCTGCAGCTGCTGCTACAGCAGGCAATTCACTCTCCAACGCCCCTCCTTGTGTTGCCGCATTCACTTCACTCTTCTTTCCTTCACCAGCAGCAGCACCAGCAGCAGCAGCAGCAGCAACCTTCTTCGCCTCACACGCTGTTGATCCCCCTGCCGCCTCGCCTGCTGCCTCCCCTGCCCCTCTACCTGAGTTTCCTTCTCCTCCTGTTTCCCCAGTGCCCGCCTCCTCTTTGTTTCGACCTTCACTGTCTTCTGGAGCCTCCCTCACATGCTCCTCAATCTTTCTCACACCCTCCCCACTCTCCCTCACACACTCTCTCACAGAAGACACCCCACTAGCCCATAGAGATGCTGATAGCTGTGCGATCCGGCGAGGCGACGGCCTGTTGCTGCCAGTGCTGCTGCTACTAGCGGGTACAGATGTGACTATAGCAGGAGGCGGGGTGATAATACTACCAGCACTGATTCCGGCTGAACGATTGACAGCAGCAGGTTCATCTGTAGAAGCCACGTCAGCAGCCATGACGTCAGCAAGCAGATGAGGCTGCGCTGCCGGAACATCACTGGCCAATGGCGGCACGCCAGCTGGCAGATGAGAGCCAACGAGAGCACCAGAGACCTGTGCCTGTGCTAGTCTATCTTGCTCCCCACAATCACCCTCCCCAATCCCACCATCTCTAGGCCGTGCTGGAGCATCAACAGCGGCAGATTCACCTGAGAAAGCCGCCTCAGCAGCAGCAGCACCCGCACCAGCAGCAGGAGGAGGAGGATCAACAGCAACCGCGGGAAACGGGGCAGCAGCAGCAGCAGCAGGAGCGGAAATGAGAGGAGCAGCAGGAGCAGGAGGAGGTAACGCGGCACAGAGAGGAGGGCAGGGAGCGATGCCGGGGGGGAGGGCGCCTTCGTCTGCAAGGAAGGAGGTCTCGAGGGCGAGGTGGTAGGAGGCGAACACTGCAAAGTGCATCACCCTCTTCACCCTCTTCAGCTCCGCTGTAGGCGCCCCCATCAGCAGCACCTGCTTGGGCAGGAAGGGGGGAAGGGCAGTGGTGGGGCTGTGAGTCCGAGAGCTGAAGTCCAGGCATGGCAAGTGCATCACCCTCTTCACCCTCTTCACCTGCTTCACCTGCTTCAGCTCCGATGAAGGCGCCCCCATCAGCAGCACCTGCTTGAGGTAAGAAAAACCGAGGGTAGCAGACCGGGAGAGGGGGAAGTGAGGATGGGTGAGGAGAGGATAGAATCCCACCCAGGCATGTGAAGCGCATCACCGATAATGCTTCGCTTGGCTCACTTGAGCAGGCACATTGGATGGACGCACGGCATTAGAGGTCGTTTTTGAGGCGCCTCAAAAACGATCTCACTTGAGCAGACACATTGGATGGACGCACGGCATTAGAGAAACGGCACATGCATCCCTCAACCGCGTTGCAAACAGTACGACTCTCGTGGCTTGAGAGAACGAGGGTGAGGCTGAAATCCAGCCAAGGGATATTATTTCTGAGAAAGTATTCTCTTCTTTGAGTGAAACCAAGGGTGAAAAGAAAGGTCTCGGAGTGAAGAAGCACATACAGTGCAGCCGAGAGGGATCGGGCAGCCCTCAAGAATCAACAGCGTCTTCACGTTCTTGCGACCACCCCCAGCACCACAACCAGCAGCTATGCTGCCACCACCGCCACCACCACCCGTCGCAGCCCCCCTCCCCCTGCCTCCCCCCACACCAGCCTGTGGCCCCACCCCACCGCCACCGCTCCCCACCGCATCCCACTCCTCCACAAACTTCCTCGTCCAGAACCGCTGGCACTGCCCCAGCCTGTCAAGGGTCTCAGCGGACTGGGCCACTTTAGCTCCCGTGCAGCGCGCCACTCTCTCCAGCAGCGAGCGCTTGACATTGAAGACCAGAGACATGCGGTGCTCCACCATCCACTGCTGCGCGAACCCTGACACTGTTCCCTCCACTAACAACACACTGCCGCCCACCTGCCCGCCCACCTGCCCGCCCGCTTGCCCGCCCATCTGCCCGCCCGTGTTAGCTGGCGGCATGGAGGCTGCTGAGGCGGTTGGGGGGATTGAGAAAGGGCCATTGCTGCCTGTGGTGTTGCTGTTGGTGGTGGCGGGGGTGGAGGGGTAGCTAGAGAGGCTGTGAGTGCTCCCCATGCTGCTGTAGCGAGATAATCCGCCTGGAGCCGGGCCCGCCGGAGCTTGGTTGTATGTGCTGTTGCTGGTGTTATAGGTGTTGCTGTTGCTGTTGCTGTATGTACTGTTGCTGTTGTAGGTGCTGCTGCTGCCAGTGCTGATGATGCTTCCCGTGGTGCTGCTGGCATTGCTGCCCGTCCTCCTATGCCCACCCCCACCACCACCCCCAGCAGCAGCACCATACCCACCCCCAAACCCCCCAACAGCAGCCCCCCCACCGCTATTAACACCACCAAAAGCACCACTCCCAAGCACCCCAGTCTGCCTCGTGAGCCCTGAACCCAACTCCCCTTCACCCCGGAAACCCCGGCCCCTTGCCCCCACTGCTGCTCCCGTGGGTGTGGTTGGAACAGAGAGTGCGCTATGGCTGCTGGGCGGCCCCTGTGGGTAGCCTTGTGGGTAGCCTTGTGGGTAGCCTTGTAAGTGGCCTTGCAAGGAGGCTTGCAAGGGGGCTTGTACAGGGGCTTGTAGGGGGGGGGGGTCGGGGGAACTTGCGCTCGATCTTCTGCAGCATGTGGCGCAGATGGGTCTCTTGCTGCACGATAGAGGAGGGAGGGGAAGCAAGAGAAGAAAACGGAGAGAGAGGAATGGCAGGCTGACTTTTGAGTCGACTCAAAAGTCAGCTCATTACAATGTCACACGAAAACGGAGAGAGTGACGAGAACAAAGAAGAATGGCAGGTCAGCCAGCCAGCCAGACCATGACGACTTTTGAGAGGTCTCAAAAGCCAGCCAGACCATGACTGAACCATGTCCTTGGAAGCTAAGTCCAGAGTAAGTACGAATAAGATCCATCAGCCTAATCCAGCCTTAGTCAGCCGCAGTCAACCGCAATGAACCTGTGCCCACCTGGGCGAGCAGCGTGTCGATGGAGGAGAGGCGGTTGGGGCAGCGCTGGTACTCGAGAGTGGAGGCGAGCAGAGCGATGTGCGGCCACCGGATGTCTGATGCCATTCTCTTGTTGGCCACGTTCTTGCGACACACCACTCCGTCCACCACACAGCTGCGAGGGGTTGAAAGGGAAAGGGCACAGCACAGCATGGTTGAAATGTTAAGGCCCGAATCTCAGCCTCTCTCCGTGAACGTGGTCCGGCATTCCTTCCTTGTTGGCCACGTTCTTGTGACACACCACGCCATTCACCACACAGCTGTGAGGGATGGGGAGAGGAGAGAAAGAAAGGGAAGGGTCGAAATGCCACATGTCAGATGAGAGGGATTGAGAGGGGGGATTGGTAAAACAGCACATGGGGCAAAGAGTGTAGTACCTTCCTGGAGTGCTTCCTCTCCCAGGCCCCCCCCTGGCACGTACCTCTCACTGCGCTTCCCCCCCGCGATGCACTTCACTTTGATGTATCCCCCAGGATCCATATACCCCCCCATCGAACTCGAGTCCGGCCGAACCAGCGACGCAGCTTCGGAGGCCAGGCGCCGAACCACCTCAAGCCACCCCTCAGGGTCTCCCTCGGCCCCTGCCTGCAGCCCCTCTGCTTTCAGCATCTGCTCTACCAGCGCGCTGAAATGCCCCTCCACCACCTCCCTTAGCCTCTCCCGTGCGTCCACACTGCCTGGTAGCACTGTTCCCGCCCCTGCCGGTGCTGCAGCAGCAGCTGCAGCGCCTCCTCCTCCCTCTTTCCCCGCTGTTCGTGTTGCCCCGCCTCCTCCTCCTGCTCCTCCGCTGTATGTCCCCATCTGTCCATCCCCCTGCCACCCCTCCCCACCCCCATAAATCGAGGATGAGCTATCACCATACTGACCAGTGCTGCTGCCTGCATCCCACCCATCTCCTTCCCCTTCTCCTTCTCCTTCCCCTCCTCTCTCGTTCCACCAGCTACCCTCCTCATCCTCTTCATCCACATATGCAACCGCCCTGCCCCTGCCCTGGATCCCACCTCCCCCAAGTGCAGACGAATCTGGAGGCGGCGTCTCCCAGAGCTTGCTATTCGCCTCCAAGTTCACCGCATCTGGACACTCGGAGGACGACGAGCCGTACGACGACTGCAGGTACGGAGATACGCCGAATCCGGACGCCACTCCTTCCGCCGTCTCCTCCCCTGCATCTGCATCTTCCTGTATAGACCGAGGTCTGGGAGTGGCAGAGCCAGAGGCAGTAGGAGTAGCAACTATCATTGCTCCGATTCGATCATCCACACCGGACCCCACCACACCGGACCCAACCACACCAAACGACCCAGAACGTAGAAGCCCACTGCTTCCCCCTCCTGCTCCTCCCCCTGTTCCTCCCACCCCTCCTCCAACGTCCCCTCCCCTCCCCCCACCACCACCCACAGCACCACCGGCAGCACTAGCAGCAGCAGCAGCAGCAGCAGCAGCGGTAGCATCAGCAGCAGTAACAGCAGCAGCAGCGGAAGCAGAGGGAGTGGCAGAAGCAGGGGCAGCAGGGGGCCCATGGGGATCATCCCCAGGGCGCCAGAGGTCCTGGCTGCCTGTGCGTATGTGCAGTGCCGGTCCCTTCACCACATCATACTGTGCCCCCTGTGCTCCTCTCCCCACAGACTGCTGTGAGGCGGTTGCTGCAGTTGCTCCTGCCGTCACGGGCATTGCTGCTACACTACCTGCTGGTGCTTCAGCTGGCAGTTCTGCTGGTACTGCGTTCGCTGAAGCTTCTGGTCCTGCTGCTATTGCTCCTGATCCAGCAGAAGCTGCCAAGGAAGCAGCACCAGGGGCAGCAGCATGAGTTAACCCTGCCCTCTCAGTGCCACCTTTCATCTCAAATGCGCTGTGAACGCCACCCTTATCTTGGGATATCTCACCCTCTCCCTCTGCTCCTGCCTCCCTCACACCTACTGCTGCTCCCTCACCCATCTCCCCTCGCTGCCACTGCTCACCCCCCCTTACTCCCACTCCCTGCCTAGCAGCAGCATCAAGCGTGCTCAAACCAGCAGCAGCATCAAGCATGCTCAAACCAGCAGCGGCACCACCACCACCCCTGCCCGCTTTCCTTCCCAGCGTCCACCTGTCCCGGCACCACCAATCGCTGTCCTCCACATAATCCCCCTCTTCCAACCCAAACCTACTCCTCGTCCTCCCTGCCCCTCCCAAGCCCCCACCCATGCCGTCCCCTCCCTCCAACCGACCACCAAACCCCTCTCTGCCAGACAGGCCAGTGGCAGTCGTGGCAGTGGATTTGTGGCCGGTGGCATTAGAGGCGTTTCGGGCAGTAGGGGCATAAGGGGCATTAGGGGCAGTAGGGGCATAAGGGGCATTAGGGGCAGTAGGGGCATAAGGGGCATTAGGGGCAGTAGGGGCATAAGGGGCATTAGGGGCAGTAGGGGCATAAGGGGCATTAGGGGCAGTAGGGGCATAAGGGGCATTAGGTGCAGTAGGGGCAGTGCTTGAGGCAGAACCAGGGACAATCCCATTCCTGCTGGGGTGGGGAGGTGTGTTGGGACGTGAGAGGGACGGCCTACCATGCTCGGCAGCTGCTGTTACTGCTGCTGGTAACCCAGCAGCTGGATTGTTACTGCCAGCCGAAGCAGGAGCAGCAGGAGCAGCAGCAGGTGCAGCAGAATCCGCAGGCAACACAGCCGCAGCAGGCAAGGCAGCAGCAGGCTTGGACCCTCGAGGGGAAATGAGTGAGAATGGAAACGAGTCGAGCGCATTAGCCGACGAAGATTTACCCACACCACCATCACCACCACCACTCCCTCCCCCGCCACCGCCCATCCTGCTCCCCGTTGCCTTCCCCCCGCCTAGACCAAGCCCAAACGTCCTGGTGAACCCGAGAGGGAAGTAAGCGAGGTCCCACATGGAAGGGCTCTCTCTGTCGCTCTCCTCCTCTGTCACTGCTGCGCCTAGATGCTCCCAGCCTCCCCACCCCTTGATGGAACCTAATCGCTCGTACGGCTCCTTGGGCTTTGCTGGCGCGTTGCTGATGGGAATGCCTCTTCTGGCGTCGTTATCACCGGCCATCTCCGTTCCGCTGCTCTCTCTTTCATGCGACTTATGCGGCTCGCTTGGGGGGAGTGTGCTCCCATCGCGTGTGGCCGTTGCGGCTGCTGTGGCGCGTGACAGTGGGAGGGCCGTTGGCAGGGCTTGTACCGGAAGAGGGTTGCTGCTGCTGCTGCTATGATCAGTGCAACCGCTGCGGACAGTGCTGCTGCTGTTGCTCTCTATGGCATTACCGCTGCTTGTGCCGTTGCTGTTCATACTTTTCTGTTCTGCGCTGCTGCTGCTGCTGCTGCTGCTGCTGCTGCTATTGCTGCTAGCTGGACCACGCTCCACAATGCCCTGGCTGTTGCTACCACCAGTGGTGCTGTCACCACCGGCACTGGGGTTTCCTTTCACTGGCCCTGTGAGAAGTTCAGCATCAGTGTTCAAAGCACGATTCAAGTCACACTGCTCCACATGCCTCTGCTGGGGCCCATGCTGCTGCTGCTGCTGCAGCAGGTGCTGCTGCTGGTGATGGTGCCGCGGGTCATAATAATGAATGTGACTATGTCGAGCATGGGGTCCTCTCCTCGCCCCCACCTCCCCATCCTCCCCTTCCTCCCCTTCCACTACCGCCTCCCCACCACCCCTCCACCTGGAATCCGAGCCACTCCTCTCGCTTCGTCCGTCCCACCCATTCCTCTCACTTCTCCCCCCATCCTGCGCCCCACTGAGTCCCAGCAGACTGTCATGGGAGAGAGTCCGCGACTGGAACCCCACACCAAACCCACTCAGGCCCCCAACACCAAAACCAGTCAGTCCCAACAGCCCTTTCCGTGTTGCTTCCGCTTTACCTCCACCCACACCCCCTCCTCCTCTTCCTCCTCCTCCTGCTACTACCACTGCTGCTCCTGCTCCCTCTCCTGCTCCTCCTGCTCCTGTTCCGCCTCTTGCTTCTCCTGCTCCTGCTCCCCTTCCATATCTCCCTTTCATCCTTTCCTCGTTTATCCTTCCTCCATTACCAGCTGCTGTTGTTGCTGCTTCCTCCTGTGCTCCAATCCCGACTCTTCTGTCCCCTCTGCCTCCTGATTGCAAATTCTCTCCCTCACTTTCTCCTTTGAACCTTTCCCCTGGCCCGTCTCCCCTAGAGTCGGTACTGCCCCTTACCCTGCCTCTTCGCCTCGCCCTTCCCTGAGACAGTATATACCCCATCTCCTCCTCCTCCTCCTCTTCCTCGTCCTCCTCCTCGTCATCATCGTCTTCCTCGCATTCATCCTCATCCTCATCATCACCCTCCTCCTCCTCCTCTTCTTCATCTTCCTCCTCCTCTGCGTCCTCCTCCTCTTCCTCCCCAAAGTATTCGTCATCAATCCTGCAATGTTGTCGTGTTTCATAAAAGAAGTTAACAAACACACACACACACACACACACACACACACACACACACACACACACACACAAACAAAAAACGAAACAAAACAAAACAAAAAAATGGGGGCGCCTCAATAATAGCCACCGATGTTGGAAAAATACCAGGGAAAAAAAAAAAAAAAAAAAAAAAAACAATATGCAAATTGCATGGGTGTGATGCCTAAAAAAAAAGAAAACACAAAAAAGGCAATGCCAAGTTGCCAACCAAAACCGACCTGTATTTCGGGTGCCTGAACTCATACTGCGTCCCAACTCCACCACCTTCTCCCACGCCCTCCGCCAATCCACTGCTCTGCTGCCGTCTGAAACCCAACAACGCCCCTCCTTCTCCCCTATACCCGCCCCTGCTGTCCCGTCCCCACCCCTCGCCCACTGAAACGCTCTTCAGCGCTCCCATCCCCATGACAGGCCCATACATTCCGCCCATTTCTCCCCCTATTCCTCCACTCCGACCCCTTCCCCGTCCCACTCCCCGCCTCATCTTCCCTCCCTCCTCCCACTCCCACAGATCCCCTTCTCCTCCCCTCCCCTCCCCCCTCCCTCCCCTCCCCTGCCCCCCTCCACCTCTTCCCTCTCCCACCTCGACCGCTTCCCGAAACGCCGAACCTGCACCTCTAGCCTGGGGGTCCCTCCGAGGCAAGCTGAGAGCCTCGGCATAGCACTGGTCGCACACCCGAACCTTCTCAGTAGCAACATCCTGAACCCCACCAACACCACCACCAACACCACCACCACCACCACCACCACCACCAGCAGCAGCAGCACCACCAGCAGAGTTAACCCCAGCAGTAGTACCACCAGCACCAGCACCCCCACCACCACTACCACCAGCAGCAGGAGCAGCAGAGGCTGGCAGGAGTGGCCGTGGCTGGTCGCGGCGGAGGAAGGGCATGGGGATGGAGCGCTGGGTGCATCGACCGCAGAAGACGCGGCCGCAGCGCCGGCAGTGGTGGCGGCGGTTTAGAATGGTGAACTGCGCGTCACACGCGTAGCAGTGCAGCGCGTGGCTGTCCTTCATCCATAAGTCCCGCGACAGCAAATCCGACTTGCTGCTCCCTGTCACTCCCCCTCTGCTGCTGCTGCTGCCACTGTTGGTGATGCTGCTGCCAGTGCTGGTGCTGGTGGCAGCACCGGGAGCGGCAGGAGCGACAGGAGGAACAGCAGCGCCATTAGAGGCGCGAATAGGGTTGACACGAGAGGTACCAGTAGGGCCGGCGGAGAAGGTACCAACAGTACTAGCTCTTTCTGCCTTAAGTGCTCCTATTTTGCCGTCTGCAACCCCTGCTTCTCGACGCGCTCCTATTGCTCCTCTTGCTCCTCCTTCTAAGTATCCCATGCCCCCCACGCCTCCTAAACCCGCAGCTGCAGTTTTCGTTGTCCTGACACCACTGAACCTGTCCGCACCACTAGCAATACCGCTTTCACCATCAAAACCACTTGTAACATGGTTACCACCGCCACCCACAGCAGTCCTCATCGCTCCTCTCCCACCCATCCCCTCACCACTTGCTCCAGCATAAGCTGAGCCTCCCCCGGTTCCTCCTCCCCCATAACCACCGCCCCCACATCCACCTCCTCCTGAATCTCTACCCCCGGCAAGAAAACCAGCGCGAGTTGCGCCGGAAGTCCCGCCGCGTTTCGCGGTGGCGCTGGCCTGACCGCTTGAAGAGGAGGAGGTGGAGGAAGTGGACCCAGCGGGAATCTCGGCGCCTGACGCGCTCAAAGACTTGCTGCTAGCGGTGTCGCTGGCGGTTGCTAGAGGGAGGTACGGACCGAAGGAGAGGAGAGAAGAGGAGGAGGAATCCGAGCCTGAGGCATGGAATGCGCGGGGGCTTGTCGCCGATGCGGCTGATGCGCCTGATGAGGATTTTGGCGGTTCCGGACTTTGCCGTTTGGGTAAGAATAGGCCAAAACCAAAATCCATGATTTCCGGGATCTAAAATTGCCGTAAGCTCAAGACAGTGGCGTTAAAACGGATGTGATCATACAAGAGGTGGCTGAAACGGACGTCGTTGATCACGGGTTGCTAAACGCGAATCCCAACCGTTCGAAGCATCTCATGCCTGAATCCTAAACGAACGCATCCTCGCCGTATCCTGAAAAGGTTCATATAGAACAAGCCGAACAGATGAAGGTAAGAACTACAATACTTTCAACACTCAATACGTCAGTATTCGTATTGTCAGAATTCGTCGGATACGAAGACCGTAACTCCTTACTTATTCGTCAATGTATCTGATGACACGCGAACGGCCTTAGAGAGTGAGGAAAGGGAAACAATAGATTCGCGAAGGCTTGTCGCGGTCGAGCGATACTAAAAGAGTAGTGCGTGCATGATTCGAGACGACGCGGACGGAGGGCATAATAAGCGCGAGGCGTGGTAACACAAAACGCGCCGTTGGAAATCATCCACAAAACGCTCTTGTCGCCGCAACCCACGGCGGGCCTGAAAACGGAGCGTCCGGATAACAGGATGTACAGTATGTGGGTGGGTCAATTCATTCCCCGTCATCTGCTTTCAGCCAGAGGAATCGTCCCCTCCCCAGCCTCCGTCAACTCATTCTCAACTACGGTTCCGTAATTTTCAAAAGGGTAAACAACGGTTGGTGCAGATTACCTTTCTGGACCGAAACACACCGATGATGAAGGCGATATGATGTGGAAGTAGGATGCCATGAATGGAGAATCTAGGCGAGCCGACAGCATTTTGGGTGGGAAGGAACACCACAGATAGCCAGGAGAAGCGTTACAATACGGTGCTTTATGCTTTCAAAGTGGTACAGAGCAGAGGAAAAAAGCTCAGCTGGTTCACCATCAGAAGCTGAGGTGGGCAGCGTGGAAGGCAGCCAATGGTAATCAGTTTTGGCGCGCAGGAGGGCTGCCGGGCGATGAGTGGCCAGTTAATTGGGAGTGGTTGCCTTGGGATTGGTTAGATGTGGACGCAGTCATTTGAAGACAGAAGACAAGCAGTTGCTGTTCGGGTGTCACTTTGAGGTGGCTTTCGTTATTTACCGAACAGGCTTCGGGTCGAATCATTGAGATCCCCAACTCTTTGGTTCGGCCTGAAGCGAAAACACAATGGTGTGTGCGGCCAGACCACCTCTGAGGTGTTTCATTTTGCCGTTTCTCGGCATAACCTCCACCATTTTCTGATCTTTTCTCTGAAACCACGCAGTATCAGAGTCAGTCTCACACGAATTTCATGCTTGGAACGAACCAGTATACGCCCCGCTGGCTCCCATATTCTGCAATTCCATACATAAGGGCGTGTCCAGTTAGTTCATGTCAGGTTTTTTAGTGCCAACACACGTCTCGAGGTTCAAAAATAGTTACTGTACCTAAAAACGAATGCATTGTGAGTTGAGTCCCACCTACCTGTAATTTCAGGAGCGCGGACACGTTCTCCGCCACACGAATCAGCAGTGCTCTAATCGCGTTCGAAACGAGGTAACGGTTTCCCTCGTCAATCATATCTAACGACTTTTTGGGCAGGCGGGAAGGGTGTTGGCGAGAGTAGCGAGCTACTGGCGAAATTGTGCAAGCGATACAGGGGGCACGACTGTAGTGGCCAGTACGCGGTCTTGTACCCTTGTTCGCGTCCCCGCTGATTCCAGTAACGTGAGTCAGAAGACTCGAGGTACGTGCAGGGGGCGTGCCGTCTTGTGAACGAAAGCTGATTGTGTCCGCAGGACACGTTCAATACAGTGTTACAACAAAAAATGTGGTAACTGAGCGGGCTTACGAGCAGTAAATGTACGAGCTGGACACCTCCTAAAACTGCCAAATGCACGACATAATCCTCCTGACTCCAGCAACAGGCCAGAACCATTGAGCCATCACAATTGACAAGCTACTGGCGCTAGGCTGTATGGTGGCTGAGCAAAAACGATTTCAGAGAAACCGCGGCAAGGCTACCCTCTCAGTCAAGCTTAGGGTTGTGGACCATTAGGTTTCACGAACCGTCGTAGGGCCCACTTCGCATTCTCTATAGGGAAGAAGCCACACACCGTCGCACCATAGTCGCACGCTTGTAGTTCACTTGTCGCAGCGCAGCATGGCGAAAGGAGGACAGCAGCAGTGCGTCGTGTGCCAATCGCAAGCCGCCAAGTACAAATGCCCCACGTGCCTCTCTCCCTAGTACGTCCGCTGTGATCGCAACCCAACCTTTGGACGAACACATTCCTTACACCTCGAAACCCGCCAGAGCTAAACATATGTTATCGTAATTTCCCATTCTCCCTCAGTCCTTCTTCCCCCCTTCCTCCAAACGTTTCTCCCGCACTCCCCCTGATTCTTCCCCCTGTCATCCACCTTCTCTTCCGCCTCGCCCCTCCCTGCGCCGCCTCTGAAGCTGCTCCGTCGCCTGCTGCAGAAAACATAAAGGTCAGTCCGAAGCTACTCTCTAATCTGTACGGAAAATCTAGAGGCTGAGTGAGACAGGAGGTAGGGTTCATGGCAAGGGATCCAGGTTCAGGGTTTGGGGTTCGGGATTCGTTGTCTGGGTTTGGGTGAAAAGGATCCATTTCCTGTCGCTTGTTGAGGATCGCTGGTGCCCAATTTTGGGATACACGCGCGAGATATACATACTATGTATCCCCTTCCCCGCTCTCATACACGCCAATTCCCCCACAGCGGCGCACACACACACGCGCGCGCGCACACACGCGTTTTCTCCCATCGCCTTTCCGACAGGGATTCTCACTCCCTCCCTGCAGGGTCATGTTTCTACGTTCCTCTTACCACTCCCTCCATCCTTCCCTCCTCCACACACCCTTTCACTCACTCTTCCCCCTCACGACACACACCAGTAACCACTGTGAATTCCTCCCCACTCCTCCCTTCATACCTGCACCACTTAAGACCACTCTTCACCGCACTCACTCCCCCGCTCGCCCTGCAGAAACGCCATGCCAACCAAGAGAGCAGCCTGCTACGTCAGGAGCAGAGGCAGGAGCTACAGCCGCCGCCACTTCAGATGCCCAGGGCAGTGCCTGTCCTGACAGCAGCAGCAGCAGCAGGAGCAAGCAGCCTGTGCGGCCGTTTGAGGAGTGTGAGGATGAGGATGAGCTCTCTTGGCGCCTGCCGTGCAGCACACTCAGAGAAATAGGTGAGGGAGGATGGGAGTATGTGTGTGTTTGGGGTGGCTTGACAGCAACAGCAGCAGGGGGGGGGGAAGCAGCCTGTGTGGCCGTTTGAGGAGTGTGAGGACGAGCTCTCCTGGCGTCTCCCCTGCAGCACCCTCAGGGAGATAGGTGAGGGAGGATGGGTGTATGTGTGTGTATAGAGGCTTTGTTTCTAAGGGGTATGTGTTTTGGGGTTCTGACAGTGCCGGGGTGGGGGGGCCCTGACAGCAGTAACAGCAGCAGGGGCAAGCAGCGTGTGCGGCCGTTCGAGGAGTGTGAGGATGAGGATGAGGCCGTACTTTCTTGGCGCCTTCTCTGCAACACACGCAGGGAGATAGGTGAGAATTCAGCACCACTGGGTGTGTGTTTATGGGTGATGTGACAGCGCTAGCCCCAACAGCAGGACTTCTGCTGCTGTTAGAGGTATGGGACGATGGCTTTTGAGGCGCCTCAAAAGATGTGACAGCGCTAGCCCCAACACCAGGACTTCTGCTGCTGTTAATAGAAGTATGGGACGATCGGAAAAGAAGCTTCTGCTCCTCCTCACTCCCCCCTCCTCAATCCCCACTCCCCACTCCCCTCTCCCCACTCCCCTCTCCCCTCTCCCCTCGCACTCTCCCCCATGCCGCTCACAGCAGACGATGCAAGCGTAAGGCAGCAGCGGAGGAACCATGAGTTGAGCTGCGCCCCTGCCCGCTCCTCTCTTTCCCCTCTCCCCACTCTCCACTCCCCACCCCCCACTCCCCACTCCCCACCCCCCACTCCCCACTCCCCACTCCCCGCTCCCCTCTCATGTCTCCCATGCCCTTCACAGCGGACGATGCGGCACTGAGGCAGCAGCAGAGGAACAATGAGTCGCAGCGCATGCTGGCTCTCACTGTCCTTGCTTCTTCAGAATACTCAAAAAACAGATTCAGCTTCCCTATTCTCCTCTTCTGCTGTCCTCCACCCACACTCAGCGAATGACACGGCACTGAGGCTGCGTTTAAGGAACCATGGGTTGAGATGCTCCCCTCCCTGTTCCCCACTCTCCTCACTCCCCGTTTCCCTCTCTCTCCACCTCCCGTTTCCCTCTCTCTCCACTCCATTCACAGCGGGTGATGCGGCCCTGAGGCAGCAGCTGGGGAACCGCGGGATGAGATGCTCCCCTCCCTGCTCCCCCCTCTCCCCACTCCCTGTCCCCCTTTCTCCCCTCTCCTTTTCCATGGCCCTCGCAGCGGACGACGCGGCATTGAGGCAGCAGTTGAGGGACCATGAGTTGCAGCGCATGCTTCTCCTCATTGACAGCTCCCCGCACCCAGAAGCGGTCAGTTCTCGCCCCTTATCATTGCCACTTGCAATCTCTCTTGCTGCCTCAAAAAAATGTTGTGAGAGGTCTCAATAAGCGCATGTTGCTCCTCATAGACAGCTCCCCACATCCCGAAACAGTCAGTGCTCGCCCCACCGTCCTCCTTTTGATCGACTCAAAAGACACCTACTTGAGGGACCATGACTTGAACTGCAGCGCATGCTGTTTCGCTCGTCATCGACAGCTCGCTGCACCCAGAAGCAGCAGTGCTGCCACCCACTTACCCCCTCCTCCTCCTCCTCCTCCTCCTCCTCCTCCTCCTCCTCCTCCTCCTCCTCCTCCTCCTCCTCCTCCTCCTCCTCCTCCTCCTCCTCCTCCTCCTCCTCCTCTTCCTCCTCCTCCTCCTCCTCCTCCTCCTCGTTCTCCTCCTCCTCCTCCTCCTCCTCCTCCTCCTCCTCCTCCTCCTCCTCCTCCTCCTCCTCCTCCTCCTCCTCCTCGTTCTCCTCCTCCTCC